GTGGGCCAATCTTACTGGTGTTAGGTGGTACCTCATCGATGTTTTAATTTGGATTTCCCTTATTGCTAGGGAGCTGGAACATTTTTTCATATGTTTGTTTGCCATTTGGACTTGTTCCTTTGTGAAATGTTTGCCCATTTCCGTGCCCATTTCTTAAGTGGCTTGTTTGTTTTGGTTTTTTGGTTGTTTTGAAGTTCTTTGTATATCCTGGAAATTAGCCCCCTGTCGCCTATATCGTGTGCAAAGATCTTCTCCCACTCTGTGGGTTGCTTTTTTACTTTGTTGATTGTTTCCCTTGCTGTACAGATGAAGACATGGAAGTGTTACCAGTAGGAACTTTTGATAGGATCATATGATGAGCTAGAGTGAAAACCTGGGACTTTCTGAGAACTCAGCTAAAACCAAAGGTTTAGTAATGACATTCTCAATGTGTTTATAAGAATGTAACTCCACCATAAGTCACAGAACATCTATATTTGCTGCCAACAGATCTACTCTGAAGTAACTGCTAACTGATGGTCTTGATAGAAAAATACTAAAAACGAAAGATTACTTGAAATGCCTAAAATGAATGAAGAATAATGAGACTGGAAATATATGCAAAAAATATAGTAGACTGCTCCTCTGAAGCTGCCTGCAGTGATGCCTGCTTCTGTTTAAGCATCAGTTTAAGTCCAGACTGCTCCACTCCCATTTCGACCCTCCAGCTAATGCACCAAAGAAACAGTGGATTTGCATGTCCTTGAACCCTACTGATGTGGGAGATGCAGATGAAGGTCCTGGATCTTAAGCATGGTCCAGCTCTGGCTGTTGCTGTCATTTAGAAAGAGAACTGTTGAATGGAAGTTCATTCTCTTTCTCTCTCTCTCTCCTCTCTCTTTCAAATATTTTTATAATATATATGTAAATGTAAATATTATATAATATTGTGTATAACATGCCTGGGTCTGGTACACTGCTCAATTGTCTAATGTTCCACTTCCAAGCACTGGGATCCCATACCTGTTTGTGGTATGGGAAAGCAGTGGAGGATGGCCCAAAGCCTTGGGACCCTATACCCACGTGGGAACCCAGAAAGAAGCTTCTGGCTCCTTGTTCCTGGCTCCTGGCTTCAGATCAACTCAGCTCCAGCCCTTGTAGCCATTTGGGGAGTGAACCAGTGAATGAATCTTTTGCTCTGTCTAACCTCTCTGTGAATTTGCCTTTCCAATAACAATAAATCTTTTAAAAAATTATGTCTAATTACATAATTAAAAATTTTAACGTTGGACAATATAGTTCTAAATACCTATAGATTAATAGTTAAGACAGCTAGAAATGTTATAAATGTGTTATAGATGAGATGATGTGAAGATCATTTTCTACTTGAGACAGCTGTATTCCATAACAGAATCTCCTGGTTTGAGTCCTAGTTCTCTCTTCTGATTATTCTGAAGTAATAATCAAGTGCTTCTCTTTGTTTAAAAACAAAAAAGTCATCTCTAAACCAAGAAATCTGAAACCAGTTCCTCTTTCATAGCCTCAGAGCTATTCCTGCTGATAATTTAGACTCTGCTATGTTCTGAACATTCATGTTTTCTACAATTCAAGTTGAAATGGCCACTCACAGGGCCCTTCACAGGTGATCCAGTCACTGGCGTTGGTCCCTCCTGAATCAAATGAGTGTCTTCGTGAAGAAACTTGAGATTCCTCATTCCTTCCACTATGGGAAGGCACAGCAACAAAGAGCTTTGTGTAAGCTACAAAGTGGGTCCTCAGCTGATACCAGATTCAGAGGCGCATTGCTCTTGGATTTCCCAACCTCCAGTACTGTGTGAGATAAATGATTGTAAAACACCACTGTGCTACCATAATTTTGTTAGCAGTCCCAGAAGACTGGGACACACTTCTAACCTTCAAAACTTTGAGAATGATGAATTCTGGACTCGAAGCAACTCAGTCCAGAGCACTTTATTAGAGTAGCCCTGAAAAACTCACACAGCTTTTGGGGGCAAGAAAGTGGTAAAGCTGTTGTTCAAAATATGGGTGACTTTGGAATCACGTGGATGGGTAAAAGCTGGGAGAATGTGTTAGTGCCACACTAGAAAGGGCTGTGTGAGTGGGCTTGCTCTGGTTCTTCTGCTCTACTCTCACGTGAAATAGGCATATGAAAGAATTATCTGCATCTCCATGTATATAGCAACACACATCACAAGATTTGGAATCAACAGATATCCATCAACTGATGACTGAATAAAGAAATCATATTTGTATGTCAATGGAGTAGTCACAGGATGTAGTTAAGAACTTGCATTATTTTTAATATATTGTTACTCAATACTATGTCAATTAATACCATAACATTGTATATTGTTGCTGATGTTATATTGGGGCTTTTGATTGATTGGGATTTTACTCTGTTGGCTCTGCCTTCAGACCAGAGAAAGTCTCCCCAAGAAGCCATTGAACTTATCTGGTCAATAAGATGCTTACAGTGAAGAAATCTCAACTGAACTTGAACTGTGGTTATGCAACAAGGTGGAGGAATCCACCACGGGGGGAGGGTTATGGGAGGGAATCCCAGTACCTATAAAACTGTGTCACATAATACAATGTTATTAATTTAAAAATAATAAATAAAATAAAAAATAAAATAAAACACAGAAAAATCATATCTGTATATATCAATAATAAATTCTATGAATAATTATGAATAAGGAAATCATATTGAAGGATTCTTCAGGTGTACATCTCAACAGTTTACTTGTCCACAACGTCTTCCATTAATACGGTAGTACTACTAAGTCCAAACTTCAAGGTACCTTTTTCCACACAATGCAATTTGTTCTGAATTTACTCAATTGTGTGCCTTTGGGCTTTTGGGTAGTAAGCTACTCAAGGGAGAAGACGTTATCATATACACATGTATGTTCAGATATATACACTCATATATACATATATATACACACACACAAACATATGACTTTTAATAAATAACCTACAGCCTCAGGCATCTGTCAAGGATGACTGGAGCTTGGCTTGGCATCTTCCTATGCCTATCAGGCGGGTGGCCCTGGCACCAATGGTGCTGGGCAAAGCCTTTGGGCTACCTGATAGCATACTCTAGGGACTTGCGGATGTGGGGTTACAGGGGGTCTGGGTGAAGGCACAGGGGAGGCAAGTGGAGACCTGAGGGTTCTCATCCAGGTGAGGAATTACTACCGAGCGACGTCCATAGACAAAGCTACTGTACATGCAGGTAAGTCAGGGGACTGAAATCAAACGCTTTGGAGGGGGGAAAGGGAGGACTTTTTAGGGTCTGATCAAAGTACCAGCACAAGTGGGAGACTTGAGATGGGGCAGTTAGCAGCTAGATCACAGTACCCACCAGTGAGAGTCAGAACAGGGGACAGGTGATGCTAGGCTGGGCCACAATAACCAGCATATGAGAATCAGGTCTGGGGGAAGAATCTGGAGTGGTGTTGGGGGTATATGGACTCATGCTTACAGAACTGCAATCTTCATTGGCATTGCAAGAGCTATAACTGGGAACAGGCCTGGTTGGGTAGCTAAGAGAACACCCCACTTGGGTTAGGATTCACACTGGTGAGAAAGAGAGCTAGAATGGGGGCAGTGGGTTGGACTGGACATAGCTGCAGCCTCCTTCAGCCTGGGTGTTGATTGAATCTGGGGAGTGACAGCCTGGGCTAGAGTCCAGGATCCACTGGTATTTGTGAGAGCCAGGGTAGGTATACAACAAGCCAGGCTAGGTCCCGCTTCCCACTGAACCACATAAGAACTATGTCTGGGCACAGACCAGGTGTGGCTGGGCTGTAACACCCAGCAGTAAGAACCAGATTGAGTATGGGCCAGTTGGCCAAGGACGTTGTTCCTGCCAGGACAACAGCTGGACAAAGTCAACCTGGACCAAGGACCTACCAGGAGGAGACCAGATAGAGCAACTTGGGAAATTCTTTTGTCAGGACAGTCCCTACAGGTGGACACAATCACCAAGGCAAGGAGCAGTCTAGACCTGGCCAGATTACAATACCAGCCAGTATACATGTGGGTCAGGTCTAAGGACAGACTAGGCTGGGCAGTTCATAACATCCACTAGCAGATCGGAGAACCAGGACGGGGTGCAGGAGGTGCTGGGTCAGGTTACAACACCAGTCAGATCACATTAGGGCCTGGCTGGGCTGGATTAGCCTTCAGAATTAACCACCATGAGCTGAAACTGGGGACAGTGGATGTCAGATCCATGAGCCCTAAGGGTGGGAGATCTGGCAGGGCCCAGGTCACTTGATCCAGGTCCTTGGCCCACCTGCATTTTGAGCACTGTGTTTGTAAGCTCCAGGGGTGGGGGTCCAGTAGGGCTAGGGTCGTGTGGCCTGGGTCATTAGGCCCATCTGCACAGTGAGTGCCGGGTCCATGAGCCCCAGGGCAAGGGGTTCTGGGGTGGAGGGACCAAAGTCTCCTGTCCCAGGTCCTTGGATCCACCTGCCTCCTCACTGAAAAAGACAGAGCAATGGACTTCAGGTCCTGATGCATTTGAAGAATATGACAGACTGTTGGGGCTTGTGGAGCATCTAGTGCCATAGCAGAGGAACAAGAATAGAACAAACGATTACAGCAAAACCTGGGCGAATGGAAATTCTAGACTGTGTCAGCCCAGTGGACATTAGAAGGGTTTCCTCACCCTTGGACTGGTAAAATTGACAGCATTTCAGAACTATCCAAACCACTTGTGTAGGACCCTCAGAGCACTTATTGCATCAGGACCTTGGATTGGTATTGGGTTCCCTCTCCTCTGGTATTCAGGCAATCAGGAGATTGAATATGGCCTCTCCCCTTATCTCCCTCTTCTCCCAAAAACAGGAATAAATAGAAACTTTGGGAATAATAATCAACCCACTTTTCCTTAACCCTCAATCCCTCCTGATCAATTATGTAAATGTCATCAAAAAGAAATATACAAACAAACAAATAGATAAATAAATAACAAAGGTGATACAGAAGACTAGAGCATATATGCATTTAATAATTGTCTAAGAAATTGATGGAATAACCACTTCATTTTAGAAGTTGAATGGAACAACATAGTCACAGACATGCCCCTTTGAATGAAGAGCACTATGTGACAGCAAAGGGAATAATACAGCTCTCTGAAGAAAAAAAAACAATGAAATACTCCATTAGCCATAAAAATAAGTAGTAGATGACAATGAGAATCTATTTTTAATGTCTAAAAATATGTGGGAGTGAGTTTTTACAAAGTGGAATCAAGTTGAATTTATTGATATGCCAATATCAATATCAAAAATTCTGCATTTAAGGTTGCAACTCAAGGTGTTATGAAAGGCACTAACTATCTGGTTAGCTGTCTAACCATCCATGAAGGGGGATGCATGGGAGAAGGAAATTCAAAGGCTTAGAGACTCCAGGACATAAACTAGAGCTCCCTAAAGTTCCCAGGCTGCTATACTACTCTGCTTGCTTGGTTCTAACACTGCTGCATTTGAACTAAGCCAGGCTATGTGCATGCCAGATCTTTGGCTTGTAGAAAGTCTGTCATGACTTCTTACCTCTGTAAGAATGTGAGCCAACTCCCTGAATAAATCTCCCATCTATCATTATCTATTGACATGGAAATCAGCCTGTTAAGTGTGTAAAAACGAAGATCACCTGCAGATACAGTAGTTGTGAACCAAGAAACCAGGTTTCTTGGGAAGAACAAAGTCAGCTAAAGAAAAGAATGCTAGAATAAAAGAGTTAAGGGAATGCCGGCTGCAACAATTCAGGATACTTCTGGAGTTGTAATAGCCCACAAGTGAACCACTGTGCACATACCTCTGTATTCCCCACTTGCTTGCCCCCACCAGTGCTAAAAGTATCACATGCCACCATGCTATAAACATGGCCCAGCCATTCTGGAGGGATCCAGGCTGATGCCCTCTGGAGTGAAATAAAGCCTCCTTCCTTTCCATACTTGGTTATTGAGTCTCTGGTGGTCAATTTAAATAATGCTATCTTTACCAATCTATCTCTATCTCTATCGCATATTTCTAGCTATTACCTACCTAAATCTATCATCTGTTTATATCTACCTAGCATCTATGTCATCTAGAAGTTAGCATCCACTAAATCTATCATGTATTTATATCTTTCTAGTATCTGTCATCTAGCACTTACCATGTGTCTGTCATCTATCTAACCCCCAGCCTATCATCTATCTAACATAAAAGCCCATCTATAATCCATTATCTATCTATTCATTCATCATCTCCTATTTTTCTGTTTCCTAATTCGGACTCACAAGCAGAAAAGACTTCCCCAAGTCCACACAGCATAGCAAACAAGTTAGGGCCAGGACTAACTTGTGACTATGGATTCTGGTCTCTTTCAAATTAATTTGACCATTTATTGCCAAGAGATAAGTAATGATTATACTTACAGTCTTTTGTATGCACATTTTTATGAATTTCTTATTAGAATAAGTGTTGAAAAGGAGAAAAACTCTAGAAGTTATTCTTGGTCCCTGGAATAATGTAACTGATTATTACATTGTGCATTGCCACAATTTCAAAGTTTAGATCAATCCCCAGCCAGTCTTCTTACTGTATCTACACAGTCAGTGACACATGTGAAATGTTAATTGACTATTTAAGGGTGGTTATGGGATAGTGATGTAAAACAGGAAAATAGAGATTATTACATCTATAAATGGGGAGAGGGATATGTTTAAGTGAACAGATACAACAAAAATTAAAACACTTCCATCTGGAGGATAAATACAATGTCGTAATAGCATGGGGAGCAAACAGACATTTTCCCTGTAACCTTTTAAGCAGGTACTCTCCACACCTCTACTCTGAATCAGAATGACTTTTATCAATCAATGGGAGTAGTCTCTTCCCCCTTGGTCTCCAGCTCACTGTAAATTGGTGCATAAATGTTCAATTCTTCATAAAGACGTTCATCTGGAACCTGAGAAAAGAGAAGCCATTCCAAATTCATCACCAAGAATCTTGTCCAAAAGGGACTTTTCTCCCTTTGTCTTTCTGAATCCCACTCTCTCCCGTTATTTTCTAGTGAATCTCTGCATCTTCAGGGAGCCAAACCAGACTGATACCCTGGGTGGGCCCAAAAGGAATCACATCAAAGGATGTTGAATTGATGTTGGGCTGACTGTATGTATGAGCTTCAGCATATCTGCTGTTGTACTTATCTTTGGAGGCACATGATCAAAGTAGTTGACTGCTTCAGGAAAGGGAACACACAGAACGTGTTTCATCCATCAGATTTGTGTTAAGTACATATGTACCACATCAAAATCACCTTGGGGAATTCTCATCGTAATTGTAAGTGGATTGGATTTGTGAGGCAAATGTAAATACAGTTGGTAGTCAAAGGTTAGGTAGGGGAAAAAAAAAAAACCTGGGGCTTCAGATTAAGTGGAAAGAAAAAGAACAAAAGCATAAAGCAAGAGCCAATGCAAGGAAGCTGTTTGGGGACGTAAGGCCAGATGTCTGAGCGGTTCTATCCATTCTGCCTATGTGCTCATTTCTCAGCTCAAAGCACTTGAAGGCATCTGCTTTTCTAAAATTGTGAAGATCGTATTTCCTGACCTTCAGTCGGGGGGTACACCAGGAGATTTGTGATCCCTGTGAGTGTATGAGGGTTGATTAAGAGGATTTTATCAACAAATACAACAGAAGAGCTTGAAATCTCCAAACATAAATGATTTTCAGGGAGCGGAAAACATTAATTATTCTAATTTGATCTGTACATATTCTATCATACATTAAGGGAACTATCACATTACATCCCATTAGCATGGATAATGAAGAAGTGTTAAGTTTTTTCAATATTGTTAGATGAAAATGCTGATTTGATCATCACACATTATCATAACATATAAACCAGTACAATTAATAACTTATAATGGCAATTTTAATAAATGAGACAAACTATACAGGTAGAAAATACCAGATGAAAATTAGAAAAATAATTTTTGAAATAGATATTTCAAAAAATTCAGGACACATGTTTAAGGCCACATCAGGACACATGACAAGGCCAAATTGTTTAGCCTGTCAGTCATGATTTAGTATCAGGGTCCTACTTACCTTTTTTCTTCTGAATTCTTCTCCAACTCCATACACTATAAGTGCCACAGCACTGCAAAATCCCAAAATAGTGACAACCAGCATCATCACCACAATTTCCTGTTGAACAACAACCAACAACCACAAAGACTAAGCCGCATGGCAGGTGTTCCAAAAATCCCTTCCTTTATAGCAAACCCCATTCCCCCAACGCAATCAGCTCTTACGAAGCGGCACAGGCACAGAGAAAACCTGGAGCAGTTACTCAGGGATTTAGTCACAAATAGGGTGGAGGGCCCTCCACAATTTCCCAAACTGCATGAACATACCTGGAACCAAATGATGGAGGCTGCAAAAATGATTGTGTTCATGGGAAAAGCAAAGAGGACTTCTTTCTTAGGTTGGGAACCAGGATCTCAGCCTCCATGGAAAAAAATACGTACTGTGGAAAAAGAAGCCACAAAGCAGTCTTCAACCTCATAAACATTCCTGCAGTATGCAGCGAAGGCCAAACTCTTCTGTAGGTTGAAGATGAGGACGAGGGTCCCTGTGACTGCAACGATACTGGTGACAGAGTTTGCCCCCAGACTTCCTCGGGCCTGGTGAGAAGAAAACCCATTCAGAATCTGGGTCTGCACCTGTCAGCACTGGCAATGAATTGATTTGCCTTTCAGACCTGGAAGCAAAGCCTATGTGAGCCGAAAATTTATGTTGAAAGGGGGAACCCTGAAAATGAACTGGTTGTCAAACTAACATGATTGCTTGTGTTGTGGGCTAAGAAGTTGATTAGTGCTCATTAGCCTGGGCAGGAACAGGAACTGGGCTTGTGGATAAAAAGTCCTAGACTAATTGGATTCATCTCTATCCAATATCATGCTAAATGAGGATGTGTGGGGAAGAGTATATAAGAAGAGGTGAAGGGGCAATAAAGAGAGACTTCACAGAGACGTCTGCCATCACTGGTTTCCTGTCGGTGCTTCATCCCCAGACCCTCTCCCTGTTCACGTTACAGGCTCTGCTGGCCAGAGCATGCTTCCATACTAAATCAGTTCCACGAATTAAATTTAAGAAGAACCACACAAACGTGCAAGAATAATGCCCTTAATTGGAAAGTAATCATTTATTTGATCAAGTGAGTATACCTACCAGGAAAAAGCCTATCTAGGACCTTTTTATTCAAAACAAGTACTAAAGAAATTATCTCATTGTATCAAATGACATAATTTGTTGTAACGATCCTGTACAACTTCTATTACAAAGGCCCCCCAACACAAAATGCGTTGGGAAAAATAATAGCATAGCCATATACACCATAGCATATAGACATAGCTCACTCAGGATTCTGACAACTCCACTTTGTTACCTTCTGAATGAACAAGGTAAAACTGCAACTCACCAGATATAATTTCTTTTTCTCTTCAGCCATAACTGACAAAAATCCAGAAGTAGCAAACTGTCCATAAAGAACGGGGAAAAGCAATGAGTCACTACAATCCAGTGTCACCCTCTTATTCCATCCTCCCACTACAAAGCAGAATTTGGAGTAACCTGTAAAGTTATCTATGAAAGTACCTCATGAATGCAGCAGATTTTTTTTAATTCTTATTTTCTAATTTCTAAAAATTAAGTGGGCATCTGTATCACATGAAAGCATTCTTCAACTCTAAGTTGTTATTTGTGAGGTCCTGGAGGGCACCCTGAGATTCTTGACATCAGTCATTATCCCAGGTGATGTGATAATGACGATCTGTGGGCCACTCCCAAGTGGCGATGACCAGCTTCACCTAGCACACAACTCAGTTACAATGCTACCATCATTTTACTGTCACTGTTTAAACGGGCATTCTCTGTGTTGGACTTTTAGCTCTTTTAGCCAAGAAACGTGTTTTCTGATGTGTCCATCTCCAAATCCTAACAATTACAATGTAGACATTAACTAGATGTGAAGATGTGCTTGACAAAATATGTAATAGAAGCAAACAATAGCACAAATCCCAATTTCTTAATGACTCAGGCTACATGATAGGTTGAGGGATATGTGAACAGTTAAATGAAGGACAAAGAAGCTTCTAACAGGACGTGTTCAAGTTTTGAAGAGCATCTTGCACAAGTGATCGGAATGCTAAGTAATCCGTAGACTGCCAACATCATTTTTTTTAGTTAAAACACTAAACTATCCTTGTAAGTAAAGTATTGATAGAAAAAAAATCAGCCTCAACCATCACAAAATAATTACACTGATTGAAAGAAGATAGCAAAGAAAACACGCTGCTTACTTGAATCTACATAATATTCTGGAAAATGCAAACTTATACACAGTTATAGAAAGCAGAACAGTGATGGTTTAAGAATAGAGAGCAGAGGGCCCGGCGCGATGGTGCAGTGGTTAAGATGCTCGCCTTGCATGCCTGGGATCCCATATGGGTGCTGGCTCTAATCCCAGCAGCCCCACTTCCCTTCCAGCTCCCTGCCTGTGGCCCGGGAAAGCAGTCGAGGATGGCCCAAAGCTTTGGGACCCTGCACCTGCATGGGAGACCCAGAAGAGACTCCTGGCTTCGGACCGGAATAGCATCGGCTGTTGTGCTCACTTGGGGAGTGAATCATCGGACGGAAGATCTTTCTCTCTGTCTCTCCTCTCTGTATATCCACCTTTCCAATAAAAATAAAATAAATCTTTAAAAAGAAAAAAAAAAGAATAGAGAGCAGGGGCAGAGAGGAATTATAAACAAGCATAGGGAGATTTGGAGAGATGGATGGCTATGTGGTGATTTTATTACCTGTGTATATGTGCCAACATATATCAAATTGCACACCTTAAAGATGTACTAGTTATGAAGGCATGTATCCTTTTGATCTCATGCAGAATCACATTTGCATATGAAATTATTGCTGGATAGTTCTAGGAATATTTTCCTAGAAATACATTCTAGAAATTCAGGTCTGATTTCTGCTAGCTAACATTCCTTGGGTAAGTCAATTAACATCTACTATTCTCATGTTTCCTACCTGATAAAAGTATGTTAAATGGTTCATCCACACTTAACAACTATAAGAATCCTTTATTGTTTTTCATAACACATTTTTTCAAAACATGAGTATTTATGAAAAACTCTAACATGCATATATATAAATATCAATACATGAACACATGCATATTAGAGACATCAATACAAGCAGTTTACATATATACACACATATATTAGTAATGACATAAATATTATCTTAATATTTCAGATAAACAATTGGTTAGATATGAATAGAAGAAACCATCTGTTCAGTGTTATTTCAGCAACTCTAGTAGACATATACTCACAAACAATGCTCCCCACAATGGATATCCTGCTTTAAATGATGAAAAAACATCTTCAAATTCTGAAACATTGAAGGCAGAGTAGATCGTTGTTCCCAAATAAAGGCATATGAAACTAATCAGAATTTGTGTCACCTATAAAGAAAATCAGCATGGTTTGTGCAACTGGGATATATTTTCTGAAGATTGTAGTCAGATTTCTTATAACTAAAGAATTATTGTAATGTCTTAGACTGTTTCAAAAAATGATCTAAATGCGATATTTTTCCAGTATCCCTAGGCCACTATAAGAATGGACACTAGCATTACTGGATGCATAGAAAGCTAATACATTTCTTGCATGCCTTTATTAACACCACAGTGACATCATTTTTTCCATTAAGTTAAGCATAGGCATTAATAGTCTTTCATGCTTAGTTGCCATTCTCATCTTAGAAATTTTAAGTTTTACTGAAGAGATTTTCCGGCCAGCCCTACAGATTCCAAAGACTCTCAACTTCTCTCTTACCAGGTGTTTAAGACCTTCCATACTTTGTGATTCGAGGGCAGAAACGGTTGTATGACTAAATACTCTTTCCTATGGCCAAACTTTATTCATTATTGAAGGGGCTCACTCACCCCCAGGAATTCCATCTCTTTCTTCAAGAATATGAACCATTTCCATCCTGGTGAGCGCAGAGGAGGCTTCTGCAGTGAAGTTTCACGACGTGGTGAGATTTCTGAGAGTTCAATTTCAGACACACTGTGAAATTTGATGGACATTTGATTGTGAGGAAATCCCTAATTCCTTGGGCAAACTTCTTAATTGACAGAGGAATTTTACCTGGACCTTTTTATTTTTCCAAAACAGCCCTGCAATAAATGTTTCTATTACAATGACTAAAAAACTATGGCTCCTGGATATATACAAATGACGAAATAGGACCAGATTCATACTGAATCATCTAAACCCAGGGTTACTACCAAACCTTCCACATTCATTTATGTTAGCATTAACACTGAAAATGAGCAAATAGCACTTTTACCTGTACATTTGACGGCCCTTTAAACAAAGATGTATCTGAATACATTTTGTAAATAATACACTGAAGTTCGTGTATACAGAGGACAGGAAAGGGATGGATTGAAGCCATAGTTAAGTTTTTGTACCTATTTTCCTTTTCAGAGCAAGATACCTCAGCCAAAGGTACACAACTACCAACTCAGAAGGCTATTTTATGAAACTGATGTGCAGCAAATTAGACATTCAAAATTCTCATGGCATATGTGTATTATGGAAACACTATGCATGATTTTTAAAATTTACATACTATAATAAACTTATCTTTCAATTCAATATTCCTCAACCATTTTGAAGCATGCTTGATTATTACATTGAGAGAGATCTATCTGGGCAGAAAGAACTCTTCTGTCTCATGCCGGAGGATCACCCTCTGGGGCTAGGATTCCTATTAAATCCGCTCACATGATGAATGAAAAATCTCCTTCCTATCCAGTAACAGAGAATCACTAGGAAAGTGTAGCCAACATACTAACTAAACTAGATAGGTCCATGGCAAAACCCATGCTTTGACACCTGCTCAGCACTGAAGTGATTGAAAAAAAATAACAATAAAGCCTGTACCTACCTGGAGGGGCCTCTTGGGGTTGGGAGGGCAATATCTGTTCTACTCCTAGGTCCCGTTTCCATCTTTCATTCACTACCCAGGAGCAAACTATCTTTGAGTGAAAGATGTTGTTCTGTGGAGTGCAGAGAGACTTCCTCTTCCATGGGCAGTCTAAATAAGCAGTTATAATGGGTTGAGTCATGACATCAATGATAATCTTCAGACATAAGCCATGGGTCGGAAAGATAAATTTACTGAGATAAATTAAGATAAATTAAGATCAATGGGTTTTCTTATTACAATGGAGAGCAAACCTGAGGAATTTGCTAAATAGGAACAAGCATGATATGTGAGACAACGGAGCATAATCCTGTCTGATACCAGAAGGATTTACAGAAATGGAAAATGAGGCATTTTCATGAGAGTTGGAGATGATGAGAAAAAGTTGTGACTACAAAAGAATTGCACCATTGTTCAGCCATTGCTGTAAGAAGTTTTCCAGTCACACATTTTGAAAAGCCTGACATGCCCATGGACTGTACAGATAGAACCAAGGCTGGGGCACTGCTTGGATAAATATGCCTTGGTCTCTGACCTTCTGGAAGCATCTTCCAACTCTGACTTCTGTGTCTGTCAACACATCTTTCTCTCTCTGTCTTTCGGGAACTGTTTGTATGACTCCTCAGCAGAGAGTTTTGAAAACAGATACAGGGTATGAAATATAAGATGTTTTCACAAAACTCCAAGGTGTGGTGAGACATTAAACTGGTTGTTTGTTGCTTGGATTTTTTTTTATTGCATTTAATTTTCTAACAACGTTTCTTAGGCTCTGATGATACCCCTTCCTCTCCCCTTGTCCTCCCCCCATGGTGGATTGCTCCACCTTATTGCAGTATTCCAGTTCAAATCTAGTCTTGTTTATTTCAATGCAAGCATGTGTCTTGCATAGTGTCCAGTATCTTATTGCCCAGCTGAATTCAACAGTTTCTTGAGAAGACTAACTCTGGTCTGGAGACATAGCTGGCAGATTGTCGTTCCAACCAATTAAAAGCCATAACATAACATCAACAACCGTTTCCAACATTATGGGGTTAATTAACAATGTAATACTACATTTCACAGGTACCCTTTTACAAATTGACAGCATTTCAACTTAAATTAAGGCAAACATGTGGTATCTGACCTTTTGGGATTGACTCATTTCCCTTAGCATGATGGGCCATCATGATGGCCTATTTGGCCACAAAGAACTGCATTTTGTTTTTTTTAATACCTGAGTAGTATTCCATGGAGTAAATAAACCATAGCTTTCTTATCCAGTCTTCTGTTGATGGGCATTTCGTTTGCTGCTTGGATCTTTGTCATGGAAAGAATGGGACATGAAAACAGAGACAGGAACTTGATAACAAATCCTACAAGGAAATCCAAATGGATTTGGATTGAGAAGAACGTCTACATTAGAATTGCAGTAAAACCAATGTGATCATTCTAATAGCATGCCTACTTAGGGCATAACGTAAAATTATCAAATGCTGTAGGGAGGGATTCACAGAAGTTTGGATTATATTTCGGCCTAATTATAGGAAAAATCTTAAATTATGAAAATAATTTTAATTACTATTTAATGAACTGCCACAGTGCTGAAAATTGTACATTTAGTCACCTGTGTGGATTAAATAGGATGTGACAAAATGTCTTCTCCTGGAAAAATAAAATATTTACATGAACAAGATACCAAAAGATAGATTGGCAGCTCTTTCATAATGAAAAAATGTATTGATCCAGGTGCTATCTTCCCACTGGGTCTTGGACAATTAGTGAAATTAACCAATGAGCTATTGGGATTCAAATATAAACCTTATTCATTTATACATTCATCCAAAGGGATTTAGTACTTTAGGCTGGGCACTGCTGTACCACCCACATGCCAGCATGGATATATGTCATGGTGCCAGTCATATCTGGCCCATAACTTGGCAGAGTAGAGAAAGATAAATTCTATAGTATTACCCAGTATATCAGAGGCTACAGGCTGTTAGAGATTCATTTCCACCTCACATGGGATATGCAGAGCTCATGGAAGGAATTCCCAGAGGTGACATTTGAACCCAGACTTGAAACAATAGACAGGAATTTTCCTTTGTTCGTTCCTTCCTCAGTGAAATGATCCCATCTTTTCAGGGAGAAATCTTGAATAAATTGTTATGATAGTTCTTAGAAGTATCTAATAGCTCATTTTATATGCAAACAAAATCAAGAACTGGACTGGAGATTTAGACAAAACATTACTTGAGGATGTTTTCAGCGCATCAGTATTGCCCTTTGGTGAGAATTTCCAACAGAAACTCGCAAGATGCAAATCAGAAACTGAAAGCTACCATCCTCCCTCCTAATTGTTTCCCATCCTCCTTGTTTCCAGCACCTTCTACTTTTTTCTGACGTGCCTATCACCAACTGTTTCTGTGCTGCGTTTCCTACAGCTAAGCCTTTTCATCTTACAGAAACACACAAAATGATTTTTTTAATTGGACAAAATTATCAAGTTAACCACTCTAACTATAGCTCTGTTTGGCTGGAATGGCTCACATTGTACCCCAACATGGATCAGTCCTCTGAGAGTGCCTTGGCCACATGCCTTTCCCTCTTATCCATCTCAAGCTTCCTCTTGAAAAGACAAATGCTTCCTCTCAGTTGTGTACTGGGATTATTTCTCAAAACTGAAAAATTTGCTTTCAGACCCTGCACAAACAAGTTTCTCAAACTGAATATTCACTTCAGTTGTTTTTTTTTTAAGTGCATGAATGTGCATGTTGCAAATTGAAAGCCATATCATCCCTTAGGTGGTATTTTTTCAAAAACTTTTTAAAAAATGTATTTATTTTACTGGAAATTCAAAGTTACAGAGAGAGGAGGAGGAGATAGAAAAAAAGTGAAAGAGACCTTCTATCCATTGGTTAACTTCCCAAATGACCATAACGCCCAGAGCTGGGCTGATCTGCTGCTGGGAACCAGGAACTTCTTCCAGGTCTCCCAAGTGAGTGCAGGGGACCAAGGCCTCAACCCATCCTCTGTTGCTTTTGCAAGCCATAAGCAGGAGGACAGATCAGAAGCCGAGCAGCCAGGACTCATAGCAGCACATATATGGGATGTTGGCACTGGAAACAGAACTAGCATGTCATGTTGTGGTACTGGCCCCTCTTAATGGGGTATTTTATGAAATTCCTAAAGTTATCACCTTGGGATCCCTTCTCTCCTCATTGCCTATCCTCTCCTGCATCTCTCTCTTCCACCACTTCTTTCCAGATATGACTGCATTACACAGCAAAGTAGCATCTTTCTAAACTTGGATAAGAGATTGGGTAAGCCCAATACTAACATCAAGTTCCAATGTTCCATGGGATATATTCACCGAAACAAGGGGTATGAGAAAGTATTCACAAAACAAAAGACTTAAAGCTAAGTATAAAGGGAAAGCCTTTATATTTTATATGACTTCAGTAATATGCCACAATGCACATACCCAATATATCTGAATATATATTTTTTAATTCAATATATTTGAAAGGCATAGGGAGAGGTGGGAGAGAAGGGGTGAGACAGAATTTTCTATCTTCTGGTTCACTCCTCAAATAGCCAGAATGGCCAGTGCTGATCCAGGCCAAACCAAGAACTCCACCCTGATCTTCCCTGCAGATTATAGGGGTCCAGCATTTAGGCCTTTCCTTGCCACTTCCCAGGAGAATGGTTGGGTGCAGGAAGCAGAGCAACCCAGGACTTAAATGGTCCTCTGCTATGGGATGACTGCATAGGAAATAATGCATGAACCAATCCCGCCATAACACCAGCCCCATCTGGATATTTAACACAATATCGCGTGTCTGATGGGAATTCAATAGTTTTTAGATGAATGAGTAAACCAATTGGCTACTTATTGAAAGTCCTCAATTCCCTGGAAAATTCAAAGATGACTAGATGGTGTTTATTGTAAATTCACATGTTCTCAGATTGCTAATTTATCTAAGAATCAAGTGGAAGCAAAAAAAAACAAAATCTTCAATGGGGACTTTTCATAGTATTCTTTTTTAATTTAAAAAAATAATTTTATGATACAATTCCATAAGTGCTGGGATTTCCCCCTCTCACCTCCCAACTCCCTTACCATTCCTGATTTCCTCTATATTATTACAACAGCATAGTCCTTTAAAAATAGTCATTAAGTCCATCATTCTGCTATTCAAGTACATCCAACATTATAGGTACAGACAGTGGTAGGCAGTCCAGTATCCTACTGGCATGATATATTTAACGGGAGAAACAAGGTGGTAGAATAGGTTAAGAACATGTTTAAACAGACAGAGAATCATTAGGGTGAAGCAGAGAGACATGATCCCGGGAAATAGGAGAAGACTGGCCAACAGCAGTGCTAGAGACCAGCTCCAGCTGAGTTCAGAGCTCAAGAAGGGTGTGTGGGGTCAGCAAGAGAGAAGAGACGGACCGCTGGAACTCAGTAATCATAATGAACAACTCAAGAAAACTATTCTATTTATACAGAAACCACCACAAGCTTATCATACACTGGTTTACTACATGATCAAGTGGCTATTTTCAAAGATAATTCTGCAAATCATTTCACTTTAAAGTAGGCCATTACTCATTCTGATCTTGCAGCCAGGAATTCCTTGGCTGGTAGCACATATTAGTCAATAATACACTTCTACTACATTTCTCTTTCTACAACTTATTGTATCATTTAAAGGAGAAAATATAACATAACAGGAGAAACAACAAACTGATTTTCAAATCAGTTTAAAAGCGTGTTTTAGTTTCTCTAGCCAAAGGGTCATGGGAGTAGCCAAAACAGCATAAATTATTAAAGGCCTACTCACGTTATTAATGACGTCAGTTCCTAAGTTCACATCACTTACAGAAACTTTCTCACCAAGGCAGACAATAAAGCCTCAACAGATTACAGGATTTTTTGAAGGGGTGATTGAGTGTCTGTGCAAAGCAGATGACACTGCATTGAAGTGGTTAGAGACATATCCTCCAAACATTGCCATACAGCTGGGAGCTCCTTATGGCCTTTCTGTCAGAGGACCTGTTCTCTTCATACCTTTGCATCAGTCACCTGGAGGCCCATAGACACAGGGAAGCAGTGGAGACAGTAGAGTAGAGTTGCAGTGACCAGAAACCCCAGTGGTGGTTGACAGTTGGCAACTGGAGCTCCACCAGTGGGGAGGGGAGTTCACTAAGAGCTCAGATGAATCCAGGCACAGAACTACCCATCTACCCATCCTGTTGATTTGCTGGATTCAACTACAAACAGAAGCAGAGTGCCAGAGCCCAAGCAGGTGGGTGCAGGAATAGTGTGGATTTCACAACTCAAACTCTCCCCCCAGTGCCACATTGGGTACCATTTTGCGTAGTAAGCAAAAGGCTGTGGGGACTGAAGGGAAAAAAAAATGAGTTGTGCAGGCACTGATCCAGGAGCAAACTCACTTCCAACTCCACACATTGTACTGGTCTCATAGGAGAAATAGTACCAACCTGGCATCTTTCTTTCTGTCTCTCCTTTCTGTGGACTGCCTTTCCAATACAAAAACAAGTAAATATTTTAAATAGATGAGAAGAGAGAAAGAGAGGAAGAGAAAGAGGGGGAGGGGAAGAGAAAGACGCACACTGCATTGTAGCTTCATTGAATAGTCCCTATTATACTGTTAAAGATTTATTTATTTTTACCAGAAAGGAAGATTTTACAGAGAGAAAAGACAGAGAGAAAGATCTCCCATCCATTGGTTCACTTCTTAAATCGTCACAATGGCCAGAGCTGAACTGATGTGCAGTCAGGAATCAGGAGTCTCTAGCAGGTCTCCCACATGGGTGCAGAGTCCCAAGGAGCTGAGCCATCCTCCATCTCTTTCCCAAGCTACAAGCAGGGAGCTGGATGTGAAGTGGTACAGCTGGGATATGAACCAGCACCCATACGGGATCCTAGTGCCTACAAGGGGAGAGTTAGCCAATCAGACCATCATACATGCACAATCTGCTTACTCTTAACCAACCTTCCTCCCACTTATTCCTTCCAATGCACTCCATCACTTTACCCTAGTCATATTTCTAAATTCCAAATAGTACAGAGCCTGTTTGTATATATGGTGTCCTACCAAATGTTTAACAACTGGCTTTCAAAGAGGATAATGATGGGTAAGAATATGGTTTTTGGCTTCTGTCAATCCACTGTTAATTTTCCTGTCATAACCAATTTTAAAACACCCAAATGATGTTGACTTATGCTCCCTAGTACATCACTGCATACATTTTCAATTCCTTCTTAGGACTTGCAGACTTAAGATCTGTGGTTTATATTCTTCCCTCTCCAAAATTTTTCCATCTCCAAGATTATCCCTAGATTAGTACATATTTAATTATGTTCTTTTCTCTCTTCATCATGCCTGAAGAAGCTCTCTGCTATTTCTCTCCAGTCCATCAGACCACAGTCCCATCTCAGGTTTAAAAGAACCAGCAAGACCACAAACAGCAACATCCCTATCAAGCAGCTGGGGTCCAAGTTCACATTTGCCTTGCTTTTGCTTAAACGTTATAACAACTGATAAGGTAGTTGATGCCATAATGTCTGTCTTACATATGAGGAAAAAGGCATTACAAAGATTAACTAGCTGCCTAAGTGCAAACAAATCGTAATTTGAACTCAGGTATGTTAAATGCTAAAGCTCTTGTTCTTCATTTTTCTGCTTTGCAGTTTCTCAGAGTCCTTTGAAGAATGGATGTGGGCCAAACCATCATTTTTATATGAAGGCATATGGAAATCCCAGTAGCTGACTGAAATAGAATCTCTTGGGCTTGTTCAATCCACCTTAAACATCATGAAAAGTTATCTTGAGGACAACTTTCTTTTAGCTTAGCAGCTTTGTGATGGTGATGTAGGCTAAATCCAAGTTTTCTTCCTTAATTCATTGTCCACCCCCACTGGATGGATGGAATCTGGGTTTTAATGAGCATGCATCACATAAGGAGCTTCTTCTGGGTCTCCCACGTGAGTATAGGGTCCCAAGGCTTTGGGTCATCCTCAACTGCTTTCTCAGGCCACAAGCAGGGAGATGGATGGGAAGTGGAGCAGCTGGGGTACAAACTGGCACCCCCATGTGATTCCAGAGGATGCAAGGCAAGGATTTAGCTGTGATAGCCAAAAGGATCTCTGGTAGAGATACTCTGAGCTCACAGCCCTGAAGCTACAGTGTTCCAGGGCGGCAAGCACCTCCAGGTTGGTAGAGGCAGACAACACAAGGAAAAGAAGACAGAAAGTCAACAGAGTGAAGTTGAACAGGTCTCTGTCAGTCATGGAAAGGTTCTGAATTTGTTGTTGAAGGATTTCAGGAAAGAGGAGATAAACAGTTTTGCAATTTTAAGGGATGACTCTGTCTCCACTACAATAAGTTCAAGGGTGGTAACAGGAAGTCTGAATAGGAGAGAGGGTGGTAGACTGGATGAAGTGTCAACGGGAGGAAGATAGGGTCAAACTGGGACGTAGCTTGAAGGTGGAGCCATCAGGATGACAAATCAGAGGTAGGATTGTCAATAAGAGTCAGCTTTATACTAAGATCTTGTCTTGAAATCTAGAAGTATGGAAGTTTGATTGACATGAGGAAAAGTAGAAATGTAGAAGAGTTGAAGGGAAAGATTAGGGATTGAGTTTTAGAACTGTTAAACATCTAAGTGGAAGCACTTTGACATTCCAGTTGAACACTCAGGTGAGAGATGTAGTTGAAAACTCAGGGGAGAGATGTAGTTTGGAAATATGGACATATACATTAAATTCAATGTTTATGAGTAAACTCGTATTTTTCAAGACCAAGAGAATGAACAGGATCATCAAAGGAATGATTATGGATTTAGAAGATTAGGTACCAAAGAATTGAAATCTGAGGCATCTAAACATTCAGAAGTCAAAAAGAATAAAAGGAACTGGAATAGAAGACCAAGGAGAGGCCAAGATGAGAGGAAAATCAGCCCATTAACAAGTGCTGGCAACCAAGTGAAGGAATTATTGGCAGGAAGAATGAATGTGCTAAATATTGCTGACAGTTAAAACAGATGGAAAGCAAGAGTGAACAAGTGGGAGACGTATTTGACCCAAGTGTTAAGATGCCTGCATCTGGTGTGACAGTACTAACGCTCCTGTCCTGGGTTTTCTTTTACTTCCAGTTCCTTAACAACATAGGCCCTGAGAGGGAAAATTGATGGTTCAAGTAGCGGGCTTCTTTCAACTACCTGGGAAACTTCAATGGGGTTCCTGGTTCCTGGATTCAGTTTGGTTCAACCCTGGCCAGTGTAGGCATTTGGGGAGTAAAATGGTGAATGGTAGTACACACTTGCTCTATCAAATTAAAAAAAACTTAAATAAATAACATCTAAATATGTTATTTTTCAAAATGATTGAACATTGTTTTTAACAATGTGAAAGTTTTCAGTGATATGAAAGAGAGCAGTTACAGGTCATGGTAGGAATGAAAATGAAGTCTAACTGAATTGAGTTCATTAGTAACTTGAAAGATAGAAAGTGGATTCAGAACCTGGCTGGCACCTTTAAAAAAGCTTAACTACAGAAAAAAAAAAGGTGCCTGTAATAACAAGGGAAGATGTGTCAATATATATTTTTCTCTTTTCAGTTGAGAACAGTAACTGTATGCTCATGCATTTGTATATGCGTAAAAAGGAATGGAAACCAATACTTAAGTAGATGGATTAGATCCACCCCGATGAGAGGCTAGAATGATCAATGCATCAGTACACGGCTGATCTGTAAAATATGTATCATAGAGGGTAACTGAAGATTCTCTTCTGAGAGCTTCACTTTTCTGAGCAGGAAATAAGGTCATCAGCAGAGATTAGGATTGAGAGAAGATGGGCTAGCACAGTGATAAGATAAAGATAGTGAAACAGCTGTCTGTGAGGAGGGTCACTGAATGAACATCAAACTGAGAATAACGAAGGCTGGGTAACTCATTTGCACCTACAAAGACACTTAGCCATTGCTTGATGCATGACCAAAGGAAAGGAATTCTTCACAATCAGTTATAGAACCAGTGGTTCAAACCAATTAGAACTGACTAAACTAAACACATACAAATGAAGACACCTTTTCCTACCATGCATAAACACCACACATATGGTCTCCTGATAACCTGCCATCCGAATGCTTTAATTTTCTTATGGATTAAACAAAAAGCAGTGTCTCAACTGGATCCTTCAACCTTAGCAACCCCTTGGTAATGGCTCATTTCTTTCTGTTCCTGTGGTCATAGAAAAAGAGGAAGAACTGTGCTTACCAGTATTCTTGCGGTTTCCTCCCTGCTACAACAGACGAGGATCCTGTACTAATTAACTGTTTAAAAATAGGAAGTAAAATAGATAGAGCAAAGAGTTGCTCCCATTTTTTTCCTTGACCCTCCACTGTTAACAGACACATTTCTTATCTCCCAAGCCAGGCACACCACCAGGCAATTCACCAATACTCACTTTCCGTTCAAATTTTTTTTTTTTTTTTTAGTATTCATAAATCTAACCTAAATATCAAGTTGATAGTTTGGACTTAATTTGTTCTGAGGAGATGTGTCTTTTTTATTGTTTAAAACAGAATCATGTGTATCAAGAAGTGTACATGTACGATCATAGCATGTAAACTTCAAATAATTCTCAACCATGCTTTGCTAGCCAAGTACTTGTAAGAGTGGCATCTAAGAAACCACCCATGGCTAGGAAATAGGAGCACTCAGAAACACAACTCCCCATATAGGACAGCCTGAGTAGCAGGTAAAGAAACAGAAATGCCTGAACACATGACACAGGTCATGTCAGGAAGCGTGAAAAGCACCCAGAGCCAAAACCACTGCTCCCTTCGAGATCTGAATGGCCTGGAAGGAGAAAAAGAAGAAAAAAGAAGAGGTGAAAAGTCACAGGATTCTGTTTCAATAGATAGGGTGGAAGCACTGTTCCTTTTTGATCAGATAGCTGCTTGCCTAACTCTCCAGCCTCATTCCTCATTGCCTGTTCCATTTCTTTCCGTCTCCATGAGTCTCCGTTGCTCAGCATCACTCCCCTCTTCTGGAGTATACTTCCCATCTTGTGTAACCTGGATGATTTCTGCTCTTCTGCCAGGCAAAGGGGGTCAGTACGACATCATTTGTTCAGGACACTTATGTTAATCCTGGCAGGCTAGATGATGCAATCCCTTTCAGCTATTCTCGGGATTCCTTCAACTTCCCTTCTCAAATACCACATCAGTCTGAGGTTTGTCTCAGACTGAATGTTTGTCTGTACCTCATTTTCTTCCCTCAAGCAATTCTCGTGCCTAGTGCAATATCTGCCATATGATGGGCACTTAGCTAATCCATGTTTAATAAACACACTTAAATCCCAGCCCCAAGGAGCCCCCATTAATAACAAGATTTATCTGCAAGCACTAAAGCTCTCTAATGAAACTACAGAACCATTCTGGAAGGGAGAAATCTATTGTAACTACATCATACAAGCTGACCTAAAAAATTGGGGAGAATTTTCAGGCTTCAGGTTAAACAACTAATGTTCTATAAATTTGTCAGTTTTTTAAAAAAGATTTGTTGGAAATGCAGATTTACAAAGAGAAGGAGAAACTGAAAGATCCATCTGCTGCTTCACTCCATAGGTGGCTACAGTGGATGGAACCAAGCTGATCCAAAGCCAGGAGCAAAGAACCAGGAGCTTCTTCTAGGTCTCACATGTGGGTGCAGGGTCTCAAGGCTTTGGGCCATTCTCTACTGCTTTCCCAGTTCACAAGCAGGGAGCTGGATTGAAAGTGCAACAGCTGGGAAAAGAAGCAATGCCCATATGGAATCCCAATAAATGCAAGATGACAATTTAACACTGAGCCATCGTGCCAGGCCTAATTTTCCTTTTAAAAAGATTCCAGAAATGTAGATTTCCTAAGGACGTATCCAGTTAATTTAACAACCCAGTTCTTGGGGTTTTATTCATCATAACCAATTTAGTTCTCACAATAGCCATATTCAGGGCTGTTGCTGTTATGACTTTTCTACCTTACAGAGGAGGAAGCCAAGAAATAGTAGGATTAACTTGGTTAAGGCCACATAGCCAGCACTTTGAGGAGCTAGAGATCATTACACTATCCTGACCTTGAAGCTTACACCAACACTCACTCACCAAACTCTAAGCCTCAGGAATGTCCACCTGTCATCCTCAGAGATACAGGTCAACTCAGATGCAGCCATTGGGACCTAATATACCTGAGGTCTAAGGTGTGTCCACACCTGCATCTTCCTAAAAACATGACTGTATTAAGTCTAGCGTCTTTCCTCAAGGTATCTATCACATTCTAAAGGGAATCCATCTTCGTGAAAAAATATTCCCAATCTGTCAACCCAAGATAAAACCTGCAGACAACCCAAGAAGCCCATGTAGAGGCACATTTAAGAGGAAAGAACTGGGGATTTCCACAGAAAGGGAAGCTTTAGGGTTTACTGTGGGGGTGTCAGGTTCGGGCAGACCTCTTTCCTCCCAAGTTCCTCCTAAGAGCAAGCAAGAGATGCTCAGTGATAACCGTGTGTCTTTTTCAGAATACAACAGGCTTTCTTTTTTGTCAAGGTCTCTTTGCCTTATGCAGCACTAGGGTGGAGTTGGTAAATGTTTTACTGAAGACTGCCGATCATGTCTGTATTTGGGGTTTCTCTACAGGTCCTGTTGCTCAGTGATATTAGGAACTGGCACCAGGAGGAACTGTCTTCCAGCAGTGACTGTGAGTAATGATTAGTTGTGGAACTAGGATAAAAGAAAAAAGTAAAGCAGGCAGTAGGACTAGTATCTGGAAGGCAGAGGATGGTGGGCCAATCATGTGTTTTTGTAAAATGTGCCTTTGTACCACAGATGAATGGTCACACCCGCTCTCCACAGGCTGAAAAACTACTTGTCTAATGTCACAAATTATAAACCATCATGTACAAGTCACTTGGACACTTAAATTAACTCATTCCATTCTCAACAATAACCCAAGTCCTAGCTACTGTTACTAACATTCACTTTCATGAAAGAACAAAGTATCACATAGAAAAGTTTAACCAGAGTTCCTAATATTTAACTGGTTGTGCTGCCAAACCACATTCCCAAACTGGCTGGAAGCATTGATGCAGAACCCCAACCTGGGTCCACTCACTAGATAGACTGAAAAACCATCACTGGCATCAGAGTGGCAGGGGAAAAAAGCATTTTTTAAGATTTTCTTTTTATTGAAAAGGCAGATTAACAGAGACTACCACTGGTTCACTCCCCAGATGACTGCAATGGCCAGAGCCGAGCAGATCCAGAGCCAGAAACTTCTTCTAGTTCTCCCACATGGGTGCAGGGTCCCAAGTCGTTGGGCCATCCTCTGCTGTTTTCCCAGGTCGCAATCAGGAAGCTGGATGGGAGGCAGAGCTGCCGGGACACAATCCAATGAGTATATGGGATCCTGGCACTTTCAGGGGGAGGATTACTGATAGAGTCATGTTGGGCTGTAGGTATTTATTGCAGAGCTCAGAACAGGGGTCCAGCAGCTATCACTTAAATCCTGCTTTTCCCTGAAGAGTTAAGAATACAGGTTCTTATAGGTTGAAATTGGGGTCGAGAGGCAGGTGATCAGCTGGTGTCCAAATGGTCAAGTACCCTGACCAGTGGACTCTATCACCTTTTTTTTTAGGTTAGTCAATGATGTCATGCTCTTTGGGGCACTTATAAAAATGGCCATCTGGGAGACCTGCAAGCAGCTGTTTCTGGTCTGGCCTAGCCGTAACTATTAAAACTAATTTGGAGAGTGAACCAAATGAATGTGTGATTGATCTTAGTCTTTAGTGGAAAAAACAAAAGGATTTAGGAGACATTTCATCACTGAAAGTAAGCTAAGAACTAGGGTCAAAATCAAGAGGCTACATTCTATAAGAAAAAAGTCCCAACTATCCTGGCAATTAAGCTAACAGTTGGAATGGCCACATTCTATATTTGAAATAGCTGAGTTCAAGTTCAAGCCCTGAGCTGCATTTCTATTAATGTACACTCATGAAGGTAGCAGGTGATGGCACAAATGGTTGGCTTCCTGCCACTGAAGCAGGAGAGCTGGATGGAGTTTCCTGTTGCTGACTTAGTCTGGTCCAGGTCCAGCCGGCATCAGCAGTTGGGAAATGAACTAGCATATGGGACTTTCTGTCCTTCTTTCTTCCAATTGGCAGATGACACCTATCTGAATGGATTCATCGGTGTTTACCTGTTCATTCACATTTGTACCTTTTAGCCATTTTAAATGGAATTTCTCAAGATTTGCTTGTCTTACTCCACAGTATTCACCTTGCACTTAGTTGATCCCATGTGTGGATGTATTACACACAAGATGCAGGTTTCTGTATCTGAACATGTCAACTCTTGAAGTTAATCATCTGACTTGAATTTATTAAACATTTGACTCATAGCTTATAATTTCATAGATTTTAAAGTCACTGTTTTGAATTTATATAGTGCCAAAAGTGATGCTTGCCATAATTATAAAACTAATATAAAATCAGACCAGGATTTTTACCACAGGATAAAAATATTGACTCAAATAAATTAAAAGCAACAATCCTACTAACCTTGATTCTTTCCTGTTCTGAACTTAGACTGTTTTTCAAAGAAAACACAGACTTGCTTAAGATTTAGAAATTTTAAGGAAGATATCACTTTTGTAGGGTTTCTCACAAAAAAAATTAATCATGAAATATTTTGGTTAATGGGGAAATACAAGAATATTTTTAAAAGTGAGAAATGAAATTACTGATGTTCATTTTGTTGCAAAAATGAAATTCTTCATGTGAGGAGTCTTAAAAGCTCACAGAACCATGTATGAGAAGACACGGATTTCAGAAAGTATATACAAATAAACTTATCCTAATATTTATCCATAAATATTTTGAACATTTATTCCTCATAGCCCAGGTAGAAAGGATCAACAAAGAGTACTTTCAGCTACTTAGAATGCTCTGGGGAATTTATACATTTTACTTCCTCTGAAGAAAACCTAGCATGAGCATTTATGGAACAAGGTCCCAGGGTAATTCAAATGTGAAGCCAGATTGGGTAAATCACTAAGTGAAACAGAAGATCTTTAAGATGAGATGATTGGAGATGGATATAAATGAACTGCTCCAAGAATAGGGGCCTCACCTATCGAAGTGGCTGTCATGCTTTATTGCAGGAGAGAAAGCTAAAAATTGGGGGTTCAGCAGACTTCACTGGCAAACATACAGGTTCATTCCTGTTCCTCTGCAGAACAAAACTAAGATGCACAGCTCTTTTAATCCTATCCTTTTCTTCCCTCGCCCTCTCCTTTATTTGCATTCTCCACATCGTACAGTAGCTGCCAGACCCATCTGCATCATCTCTTGCCACGGAACGGAAGAATGTCTTTGCCAATAGCGCCAGTCCCTGCATTGGTTATCAGGAGGTACCTGCTAGCAATGACTAGTGTACATTACAGAAAATAAGTTTATCTTTTCTCAAACTTGATGCATCTCCTCTGTCTTTTCTCAAGACATGAGGTAGGTATTATTTCCAAGCAGCGCCTCATGTGTAGGATCCTCCTTCCTAAACTCAAACCCATAGGTGCAGCAGGCTGATGTATCCACGGAATTGGGCTGGAATTGTGATCCTTGCTCTCCTACACGTAGGGAATCCTCATCCGTGATTGGTAGCTGGACCTCCTTATTCAATATTGTCAGTCAATTCGTTCAGGAACCTCAAGAGAATGAGTAAGTGATCTTTTCCATTAAGAAATCTCCAGCAACCTGCTGACTAATGGGTGGAGCTAGGTGGAAGGGGTGGCTAGAGTGTGGTTATGGCTTTCCATGGCCTCAATCTTCTTAGGATTAGACCATAAAGCAATTGGAATATTATCTTCCATATTGTCTCAAAGTAATTGGAAGAATAAATACTCAATTCAAAATGACTTAAAGTAGAAAATTTGTAAGTCAAAGATTGTTTTGAAAGTCTCCCAACTGTTAAAAACAACTATAAATAGTATAGATTATGAATCTGGAGAAAGGAAAAATAAAATAGAGGAGAGAAGATTTAGTTTGAAAGGGATGGATTTTACCCTGGGACTCTTAATTAGTGGGTAGAAAGTTAGTAGCTGAATCTTGAGAATGTTCCATCGTATGTTAGATCTATAACAAAAATACACTACATTTGAGCATCTCTCAATGTAGTTTTATTATCACCGCAATCTCAAAGAGTGATGACTTCACTTACAATGAATTCACCGAACATTTAAATCTATAGTACAGGTTCTCATTGTCAGATTTCAGAAGGTATTTCAACAGTGACAGAACATCAGTGGTACTGAAGCCAGTTCCCAGATGAGTAGGTACCACATGCTCCTTTGTCTCAGGGAGGAGAAGTCATGGTACAGGCACTGTCAACACAGTGACTCATCTGCTCCTACAGGAAAGGGGAGAAGGCAGTCAAGAGCTGCGTACATAAAATCCTACACAGAGAACTCAGGATGCTTAAATAGAAACAGCCTGAGGAAACAAATTCTTACTCTCAAATGTAATTTATAATCACGCAACTAAATCAAATATGTAAGTTAAACATTATGTTATCAGAAGTAACTGGAATCTAAATATGGATAGATCACTGCTTGTCCAAGATGATTACAGCATTAGCTACTGAGGTCACACGTTTCAACCTTAAGTTACTAACAGAACTCTGGTTGATATTCTGTAGGGAAATCAGCTTTGTTCTTTAGTCTATATGCACAAGCTTTGTGGTGATTTTTAAAATAAACTTCGTGAAAACATCCTTAAATTAATACGGTACTAATATCAGAATCTTATGTCCTGTTTTCATTATTTGGATATGTATAATACCCATACATGTGCATACAATATGCACATACACATTTCTCAGGTTTTTCAGAAGATCTAAACCTATACCCAGAGACCATCAAACTTTTGGAAAAAAAGTTGGACGTACTCTGCAAGACATAGGCGTGGGCAAAATCTTCCTAGAAAGAAACACCAAAAGCAAAAGAAGTCAAGGCCAAATTAAACAAATGGGACTACATTAAGCTAAGAAGTTTCTGCAAAGCAAAGGAAACAATCAACAAAATAGGAGTGGGTTTGTTTTTTTTTTTGCACACTACACAGAAGAAAAAGGGCTAATTTCCAGAATTTACACAGAGCTCCAGAACAATAATATCAAATCGAACCAGTCAAGAAATGGGCACAGGAAAAGGGCAGACACTTTACAAAGGAGCAAATTCAAATTTCTAACAAACACGTGAAAAATGCTCTAGCTCTCTGGCAATAAGGGAAATCCAAATAAAAACAAGGAGGTTCCACCTAATGCCTGAAAAAAATCACCCATATACAGAAAATACCAACAACATCTGCTGGTGAGATTGCGGAGAAAAGGGAACTACTGCACTGTTGGTAGGAACGCAGGCTAGTGCAACCTATGGAAGTCAGTATGGAGAACACTTAGGCAATGAAAAATTCACCTACCATATGACCCAGCAATACCACTTGTAGAAATATATCCAAAACACTTGTTATATAACAAAGCAACATGCACCCCAATGTTTATTGCAGCACAATCAACAATTGCAATAACTTGGAAGCAACCTAAATGCCCATCAACAGAGGACTGGATAAAGAAACTGGTTCATCTACACTATAGAATACTGCACAGTGATTTAAAAAAAAATGAAATACATTACTTTGTGGCCAAATAGGCCAAACTAGAGACCATTATGCTAAGGGAAATGAGCCAATCCCAAAAGGTCACATATCATATGTTTGCTCTAATATGTCAAATCTCCAGAGATATCATGTGAATCTTACACTGTTAATATTACTTCATACTTACTTGTACCTAATGTAACAAGAATTTGTGATGTAATTCATCAATTAACCATCCACAGGAGGTGGATTGTTTATAACCATCTGTGATTGTCACTGTCCACATATAACTTATTGGTACGGCCCATGAGCAATGAAGGTATAATCCTCACTGTACCTACATTAGGGCTCCAGGATACAAGAATTAACCTACAAGGAAATGTTATTCTCCACATGGCTGGGAGACACTTCAGTGTAAGCATGATGAACTTGGGAAACCACGATGGACACATATTATGAACCTAGAGGGGAAAACAATGGGAAGGGGAGGGAAATTGGGGAGGGAGAGAGGAGAGCCCACCGCCAACTAAATTTGTCAAAAAATAAGAAAACACAAATGGAAAATATCAGAATCTTGTGTCCTGTTTATTATTTGCATATTGTATATTACCCATACATGTGCATACAATATGAATATGCACATTTCAGAAAGTATTAATGTAGAGATCTGCTATATTCATTCCAAGATAACTTTCAGTAATTTTCACTTTCTCAATTTAAATTAAAAATATACAATCTTATATCTGACATAGAAGCAGAGGAAATGGATCATATGGAACCTGCTCAAACTTGCATGCCAACCACCAAGAAAACTGATTGCACCCAGCTACAGTTTATGACACTCAAGTCTAAATGGCACACATTAAGGTAGAACAATTTGAACAAACTACTGTAAAAGATAGGATCATTATTTTCCCACTAAAGTTATATTTGACCGATTACAATTAACCATGAGAAGGGAAACTTGGGTCTTCTCACCTTCACAACACTAACATGTGGTCCATCATTCTCACTGGCGGGGGGAGGGACAAACAACTGTTGGGCTACATTCGTTACTTGAGCTCTATCACTCAAGAGATTGATTTCATGCCCATTCATCCCAAAAGGTGCCAGAGACGGAAACTCAAGTCTAAAAGAGAAAGTTAAGGGAATGCACATGATTAGTAGGGACAAAAAAAATTTTTCTATGGGAAAAAAAATTTAAACCACTTCTCTTTTATTGTAAGTTATTATTTTCCAAAGTAACCAGGCTGGGGTAACAAGAAGTGTCAACTCAACTCTACAGAAGCTTATTATAGAATTCCAAAACTGCCAGTTCACATCCTTCTCATTTCATCGCAAGCTACATAAGACTTCTTTTCTAATGGCCTCTGACAAGAGCAGAGACTATAACCCATGTGTATTAAACCACGTAGGCAAGAAGAGTGACATATGAAATATATGTGTACGTAGATACACACACAAACATGTATAGTGACAGATACATACTTCTAACATGAGGGTTCTTAAGAATTTATGAAAAAAATAGGGAAAAAGCATGGGGCTGGTATTGTGGCATAGCAGTTAAAATATTGCCTGTAACTTCAGAATCCCACATGTGTGCTGTTTCAAGTCCTGGCTACTTCACTTCTGATCAGCAACTTTTTATGGTCTAGTAAAGCATTGGAGAATGATTTAAGCCCTTGGGTCCTGCACCCATGTGGGAGACCTGAAGGAAGTTCATGACTTTAAACCAGCCCAACTCTAACCACTAGAGGCATTTGGGGAGTGAGGCAGCAGATGGGAGATCTCTTGTTTTTCCTAACACTGCCTTTCCAACAAAAATACAAAGAGAAGTGTATTCATGTCTTCTATTGTAAATGAACCAAAAAGAATCATCGCATGAGTAAATGAGTGGGTGATCAAGTTTAGAAAAATCATATACTTAACTAATGTATGAATGTTTACTGAAAAAGTGCTTTTAACTCTTCTACATGCTTGAAATTTTTCCTAACAAAAAATAGAAAACTGGAGGAATTTTAGTTGTGACATAAGCATCCCCTAGGGCACTTTGATAGCTAAGGTTGCATCAGAAACAATGGATGGACTTAAGAACATAAAGGGAGTTTTTACTACACTTACCTCTTTACAAAGCAAACTACAGGGAAGGCATAGGTGGTATCCAATCTTGGTCTGTAATTGATCTCTGACAGTATGAAAGCATCCAAGCCTTGGAATACCTGAGATGATTGAGAGCTTTAACTAGACACCATTAAATTATTTGAACTGAACATGTCAGTTCTAGGAAAAAAACTCTAAAATGCCATTTAGCTTTAGTTCAACAAAAGCAACGCAGTAGAAATATTTTTTTTTCCCTCTAATCTTTTACCTTTTTATGATCATCTTCTTCAGAGAAGGAATAGGAGAGGGACAGTTTTAAAGACAATTTACCATCTCCAAATTAGCCCTTCATTTGTGCATACAATAACCACGAGGCTTAAAGTGGCAGTCTGACAGCAGGTTGGGTTTTGAAAATTAGAAATCATAATGCTAAACTTTTTAAAATCCTTTTATCTGAAAGACACTATCAAATGTTGCCCCCAGTTCTTATGTGAGAACTGTTCATTGCAAAAAGATCTGAGTGTCTTTTAAGGGAAGTAATTATGATACTTACAAATTTCTTGATTCCACAGTGAGTGACAGAATAAGAAAACTCATAGCTGAATGACAGTATCTTTGTCACAAGACAGTTGTTTCCCAGATGGATGTCGCCAATTCCAACTTCTGTGTCATTATCAAAGGGTTTCCTTTTGATTCTGGCTACCAGCCAGTCATCAGAACATACTGAAGTCACTGCTGCACAAAAATCCAAAAAGGCAACTGGTTGGCGTGCCAAAGCAAACACACTTTCTGTATCACTACTATTTGAAAGAAATGTAACTTCTACCATACACAGCCTTCAGTATTCCGGAAATCAATCAAAAATAAGAGGTACAATTTTTAACTTATTTTATTTTAACCTAATATGCTCTACATTATTTACATGTAGTAAAAAAAAGATTTCAAAGGTTGTTTTCATACTGATTTCGTATAGTCTGTGTACTGACTACTAGCACAGCCAAAATTAGTTACTCCAAGTGCTCAATAACCTCTGGATGGTGACAGCTAATCTACATTTCTATTTTACATTGTTATAGAAAGCCACCTAGAGATAAATTGGTTATTTCTTCTAACAATTTTCTCATGTTTAAGCTATAGTAATTATTACCTACCCTTTTGGGTTCAATGATAAATAAGATATAGAAATATATTAGAATAAAATCTAAAACTTAAATGTTTAATTAATGTCGATTTAAGGTAAAAGCAATTTAGAAGTCTTTTTGCAAGAGTCTGCAACCACAACTTCTTTATACATAGATTTGTTTGTCCTGCCAAAACATCAGTGATCCAGTCTAGAACAAAACATTAATACTGGATAGAAGACTTGTACACACAGCTCAATTAAACCAAAGGAGCTATGCTCTATCCCAATGGAAGTCCCCAGTGACCTGCAGTCATTTGTCTTTGGCAAAATATCTGTGTTACAAAGAGGGCTTCATCTGGCATAGAAATCTGAAGTGCGCAACTTCACACTATTGCTTATTTCAACCACTGAAAGAGGGCAGAAGCAAGCACAGTATACAGCACATCACTTTTCGGGAAAGTGATTTTGCTGTGAAGATTAATGGTACTGGTTTCTGAGGAGCTTCCATTGTGGCACAGCAGCTTAAGCTTCTGCCTGCAAAGCATCCCAGTGAGTATGAGTTCAAGTCCCAGCAGCTCCACTTCTGATATAGCTCCTGGATATGCTCCTGAGAAGCCAGAAGATGGTCCAAACATCCCTGCCACCCATGTGAAGACCTGGGTGGAGCTCCTGGCTTCAACCTGGCCAAGCCTGGCTCTTGTGGTCATTAGGAGGACAAACCAGTGAATGGAAGATCTTTATCACTGTCTTTCCCTCTGTCAAATAATCTTTTAAACCCAGGGCCTTTTTTCTCAAGAGAATGTTGACACATATTATAAGCATGGTGATAGAAACTGTACCAGTGAAGTTTTAGATGAAGATGAGAAATATGCAGTCCTTGGACCATTAATGGCAGGATTATGGTAGTTTCCATGGGACATATCAAAATGGGAATCAGATATTTATTCTCTTTTTCAAACTGAAAAGTCCTATATAGACTATGCAACATAATAGACTCAGTCATCATAAAAACAGAATGTTAAAGACGCTGGCTGTCCTTCATATCTGAAACTTATCTATAATACTCGTCCAATTGGACACACCCAAGTTTACTATTACCATAGTTACTAAGTTTTGCTGTGTATGTACCAGTTCCTAGGACATTTGTCACAGCCTGTGTTCTTCTTATTGAGCCCAACAAGGAAATTTTGAGTAGGCTGGGTGATCTATTACTCAGTTCCCAGCTAAGAAATTAAATGTTCAAACCAAGTCTCAGCAACTAACACCATGTCAGATCAGATTAGCTATGTTGACCATCACTAGCCGATTCAGCTGTTGCTAGAGTCTCAACAGTATCTCCAGTTTCTGAAGATTTTGATCTTAAATAGATATGAAACAATGAAGAGGCAAGAATCAGCATAAAAACGAATGCCTGATCTGCAGAGGGACGATACCAATACCACCTGAGCACCCATCAGAAACACTGAATTGCAGCTTTCATCCCTAACCTGCTGAACCTGTTTCCAGTTTAAATCGACTCAGATGGTTTGTATTACGCATAACCAACTCTGGAGAGTAACTTTTCTAAGGAACACCAGCATTCAGAGATGTGAAGCAGCAATTGTGAAAGCAGATAGGTGAAGAGAACCAGATGCAGTGTCAACATTTCTTATTCATCCTTTTCATATCACTAACACTTTATACTGCAAGGACTAAAGATCTTATATATGCCAAATATTATGGTAGTACTGAACTAGATAGTCAATGAAAAAATAGCCTGATAACTGCTAAAGCAGAAATTCGATTTTTTTTTAAAACTAGCTTTATGTTCTAAATTGTCCCTGGCTAATCTAATCTGATTTCAACATACTTCTCAATCCCAGTTTCAACCACATACAATTTTCCCCCTAAGAAACAGTAATAGAAAAGTTTGCCTCATAACAAAGTAAAACAGAATACTGTGTTCTCAAAATAAAAGGAAGATCAAACAAGCCCAGGCGTAGCTGGTAGAGCTGAGAGACTAGGTTGATGGACTCTACTGAAGCCAATTCTGATTATGAAATAAAATTATCAGAAAATTGATTTGAGGTGTGCTACCGATTATGCTTCCAAAGTCTTTATTCACTAAGATTCATTGAAAGAAGAAAGTGATTAGCTTCTGTTATTAGAAGTCAAGGGGCTGGCACTGTGGCACAAGTTAAGCTTCCACGTATGACGCCAGCATTCCCTGTAAGTGCTGCTTCTGGCTGCTCCATTTCCAAGTCAGCACCTTGCTAGTCTACCTGGGAAAGCAGCAAGAAAATTGCCTCAGTATTTGCGACCCTGCTGCCCACATCAGAGTTTGAGATGGAGCTGCAGCCTCTGTCATTCAACCTAGCCCAGCCTTAGCTGGTACATGCATTAAGACGGTTAATCAGTGGAAGAAAGAGCTCTCTGTAACTACCTTTCAAATGTGATTGCAGAAACATCAAAAACTGCATGAAATGTAGCAGTGATTTCATGCATGGAACTAGTTCTGCAGAGTGAACAAGTCTCACAAAATACCTCTATGCAGAAAGGAAACGCTCCAAGGCTAGATTTCTACTCAGCCCTACTGGAGTTGGTTGTTGCTATTGGTTGTATGCTACAGAATTGCATAGTAGCCTTCTTGATCATTATCCACTATATACCAGTAGCAACCCCAGTTGTGACAACCAAGTATACCTGTAGATGTTGCCAAATACCCGTTGGAGTGGCACACAACCATGGGGTCCAAGCAACATGTTTAGATACAGGACACAGTCTGCAGGATTTGCTCGGCAAACCTTTCACACCAGTATTAGACACAACTAACATCAGGTGGACCCACTAAGGCGAACAGTAGATAACCTCTCAATTCACTTCACATTTGAGACCTTCACTCCATTGGGTCTCATTGTACTGCAAAGTGCAAATATAACCCCTGTAACTATTAACAGTGGCCAAAATTAAACTCAGTGTCTTAAGTAATTTGCCCAACTTCATGCATTAACAAGTACCAGAGTTGGGGTTAAAATGTTTCCAAAACGAAGCTTCATAGGAAGTCATTTGAACTTACGCAAGCTCATTTACTAGCTGTCTGTTTTAGTCTGCCTGCCAAGCACTGCAAATAGGCCAAAAATCTTCACCTAGAACTCTGAATAAGACAGCCTTTCCTTTCCCTGGTTCTCTCAGATCATATGAGGCCTCGTTACATCAGAAACATGCGTCTAGCCATCAGAAGATGGCAACTACATCAGATAAACCTGAAGAATCTTACAATTTTTTAAATGAAAGAAAATTCCCAAGTATAGCTTAAACACAAAATGATTCATGGCGATAACACTGTTTAAAAAAAAAATACAGTTGAGTTGGAAACACACAACCCTAACAGTTTATAATTGAGGAGGTATAGTTCAATTTTATATACAGCAGTGTTCTAGAAAGCAGTCTTGTCGCTCTATTGTCACCAACTCTAAAGACATTTCTTGTTCATACCTGGCTCACCTCCTAAAGAACTCCAAAACAGCAGAGAAAGGAGAAAGAGCCCGCCTAAGAGCAGAGAGGACTTCATCACGCCAAACTCCAGGACACAGCACGCTCAAGGAAAAGGCAACAGCAAGGGTCCGGGCTTTGCTAAGTCTTATAAACCTTTGACCACATTCAGCTGTATACAATTACACCCTACTTGGGTAGCCCAGGAGAATCTGTTCTCCGTAAAGAATGGTCCATCTGCCAACTGGAGCGTCATGACCTCACCTGAGAACTTGTTAGTTACACAATATGTCCCACTGTAGAGCTATCGCATCAGCATATGCACAATACATATGGGTGCAAGAGTCTGACAAGCATTCAAAGTACATCTGAAATTTGAGAGGCACTTCTCTTGGCAATTTAGGCTCCGACTATGGTCTTTATTTTTTACTTGTTGAGCTCTTAATTAGTGGAATGATAAGCCTTAGAGGATAGGGCAAATTCAAAATATTTTATCTCAAAAATAAGAAGATTTTGATATTAGAGATTATACCTTAAATAAAATCAGCAATTCTATTGTCGACTTCAAGGTACATGGTGTACCTCTGGGACGATCCACATGCCTATATAATGCATGTCAATGAACTTATATAAAACAAGAGATTTAGTGTTTAACAAGCATCAGGAGGCACAGACGATGCCTCTGTGACTGAGAGTCTTACTCATTCTCGCATTGTTCATTTTAAGTTTCATGAGCTACTCACAAATTTGAACACTCATGTTGACTGATGTTATGGATGCCTTCCTGTATAAAGCATCTCTGCAGTTTTCCACTTATATGTCTTTAAGTTTTAAAGATTTGTTTTTACATGAAAGGCAGATTTTTAGAGAGAGGAGAGAAAGAGAGGTCTTCCATCTACTGAGTTATTCCTCAAATGGCCACAAGAGCCCAAACCTGGCTGATCCACAGCCAGGAGTCAGGAACTTCTTCCCAGCCTATTCATGTGGGCGCAGGCCATAAAGCAAAGAGCTGGATCAAAAGTGGAGGAGCTGAGACACAAACTGACACCACGTGGGATGCTGGCAATTTCAGATGCATGATTAACCACTACGCAAGTTCTGTATTTAGATGTCTTTATTTTAAACACCAATTTGTAAATGTCTAGGTAGGAACCTTTTGGTTTACACATATGATGAATATCCTCTAACCTATCTGATGTGCGTGTGATTATAAAAATTTTATGCCAATTTGATTGGGACACTTGATTCCCTGGGATTCAGTTAAACACTATCCTTGTCTATCCAGATAAATTGGCTAGGTTGTTTCTTAGTGAGAACACCTTATTCAGAGAATGAACAGATAAGTCACCAGCTGGGGACTATTATTCAAAAATACATAGCGAACTCTTACACTGAGCAATTGGAAAACAACTCGGCTTAAAAAGGACCAAGTACCCGAGCTGACATTCCTTCAAAGATATGCATTTAGTCAATAAACGGAGAAGACTTCTACACCAGCAAGTGAAATTCAAATAATGAGATCTACTACACACACCTGTGAGTATGGCCAAAACCCAGAACACTGACAAAAAGATTTGGAGAAGCAGAAAATCAAATCAATGGCAGTCAAAATGTGAGGTGGTTAGAAAACGTTAGAAAACGGATAGACACTTGTTAATAGTACTTTGATGAAAAACCTCATCCTGAATTACCTATGAAGATGCTGGATTTCATTTTCTAATACTATACATTTCTGGATCGTATAGTTTTTTTCCTACATGTATATTTTCATATATGGGGCAGCAATGTGTGTCTTTATGTAATCCTAGTCATTGAGCACACATTTAAGACATACTTGCTTTGGGGTGGCATTACGGTTCCAGAATCCATGCTGGAGCTCCAGCTGGAGTCCTGGCTGCTTCACTTCTGATGTAGCTCCCAGCTCAAGCACCTGCAAAAGCAGCAGAAGGTGGCTCAAGTGTCTGGGGTCCTGCCAGGACCGAGCCCATCCAGGCCCATTCCCAACAATGCAGCCATTTGAGGAATGAACCAGCTGGTCAAAATCTCTTTCTCTGCCACAGACTTCCCTCTTCTCTCCCTACTCAGTGTCATTCTGCCTTTTAAATAAATAAACACATTTTTAAAATATTTTTATTTAACATATTTTAAGGCTTTTTGTAATATGTCAGTCAATGTCATTTTTTGTACATTTCTAATAACTGTTTTAAGCTTATTTAGATAAAGTAAATAATTTTCGTGTATTTCTCTTTTTTTTTAAGATTTATTTTTATTATTTTTTTATTGGAAAGGCGGGTATACAGAGAGGAGAGACAGAGAGGAAGATCTTCCGTCCGATGATTCAATCCCTAAGTGAGCGCAACGGCTGATGCTATGCCGATCCAAAGCCAGGAGACTCTTCCGGGTCTCCCATGCGGGTGCAGGGCCCCAAAGCTTTGGGCCATCCTCGACTGCTTTCCCGGGCCACAGGCAGGGAGCTGGATGGGAAGCGGGGTTGCTGGGATAGAACCGGCACACATATGGGATCCCGGGCGTGCAAGGCGAGGACCTTAACCACTTGCGCCACCGCGCCGGGCCCAATTTTCATGTATTTCACAGTGCAGATTTGGGAACACAGTGATACTTCCGCCTCTACCCACCTTCCTGTCTTGTCCACCTGCCCTCCTTACTTCTTGCTTTTTAAGTTTTTACAATAGCATGCTTCCATTTCCACTTTGCTATCATAGGCTTCACACTGCAATGAGTAAAGATTTCAACAAGTAACAGGCAGTAAAAAAAAAAAAAAAAAAAAAAAAAACTACTCTTCTTACAGCATAAGTATTGACTTTTAAGTGGGTCTCTGTCGCTAGACTGTCAGGAGCCGTGTACTGTAGCCACACTGAAGCCATTTTGAATATAGAACTATGGGCCAGTGGAAAACCCCCGGCTGACTAGATGCTTGGGAAAGAAGTTATAAAACTAATCACATGCTTAGCTTCAATTGTTTCTAGCAACTGTTTCAGAATGTGATTTATGCTGTACCTGCCGACATCCTGTTACTGGTTCCCTACACTGTTGTTGATATGGTGGTTACTATTGTTGATGTGGTGGCTGCTCAAGAACAATCGGTCTTGAGACCATGGCTTGTGTCCCAGTTTCTCCTTTCCTCCCTGAGCCTTAGTTACTGAAGAATATAAAAACTCTCAATTAAAATCAATAGACTGACAGCTTGATCAGACATCCTGCCTTGCTGTCCATTCTTCGTGTCTCTTGTCCATTCTTTCCTAGGTTGGTTGCAACTCCTGTTGACTGTCCTGCTGGACGGGACACTAGACTTTCTGCACCATGAATTTCCCTGCTAACATCAAAAGATTGTTCATTTCATTCTAATTTTCAAATGTATTGTTCCAAGATCATATTACATTCGTAATGACTATAATTATGAAACTCTTAGGAGGGGCGTGTAAACCATTCGCATGTTCTAGAATCGGTGATTTTACAGTATCCTTGCTAGAGGTGTGTGTGTTTACTGATTTTTCTTTTTAAATTTTAAATTAGATTTTTTAACTTTCATACATTGTGATTTTTTTCCCCCAAGCTGCTCTGGCCCACCTTCATTTATTTGAAAGACTGTGGCTATTGAGGTAGACAAAAGTGACATATGTGATTCTGGCAGTGACTCCATGTCTCCACACAAAATGTGAGTCATCTATGCAACCAAAGCAGTAAGCATATCCATAATCTCAAATTCTTTATGATGAACTTTGCACCTGTTAACCAACCTTGTACGACCCTTTCTCCTCTTTCCTAAGGCTTATTTTTGCTTCCATGACATGGACTTTTTTTAAACCCCAGTAGTTGCAACAGCTACAGCTGAGCTGATTTGAAGTCAGGAGACAGGAGCAATTTCTGGGTCTCCCATGTCGATGCAGGGTCCCAAAGCTTTGGGCCATCCTTTGCAGCTTTCCCAAGCCACAGGGAGGGAGCTGGATGAGAAGTGGAGCATCTGGGACACAAACTGGTGCCCATATGGGAACCCTGCAGATGCAAGTTGAGGATTTGGACCACTGAGCCATAGCTCCTGGTCATGATGGCTAATCACGCTTTTTAAAAAGGGTTTATTTGGGCCTGGAGTTGTGGCCTAGCAGCTGAAGTCCTCGTCTTGCAAGCGCTGGGATTCCACATGGGCACTGGTTCTAATCCCGGCAGCTCCACTTCCCATCCAGCTCTCTGCTTGTGGCCTGGGAAAGCAGTAGAGGACAGCCCAAAGCCTTGGGACCCTGCACCTGCGTGGGAGACCTGGAGGAGGTTCCTGCTCCTGGCTTCGGATCAGTGCAGCACCAGCCGTTGCAGTCACTTGGGGAGTGAATCATTGGACGGGGGATCTTCCTCTGACTTTGCAATATAAATAAATAAATCTTTTTAAAAGGGGGGGGGGGACTTAAAAGCTAAAAGAGAGCACTCCCACCCAGCAATTCACAACATTTGGGTCTGGACCAGGCCAAGACCAGGAGCTTTTTTGTCTCCCACATGAAGGGCAGAAGCCCAAATACTTGAGCCATATTTTACTTCTTTTTCCAGGCCACCAACAAGGAGTTGAATGGGAAGTACTGCTCATATGGGATGCCAACATGGCAGGTGGTAGGTTTTATCTGCTATAGCTCCCAATACCTTAAGAACAAGGAAGTTCTAATGGTTCAAGAGAAGTGAAAAATTCATTGGTTGAAGTGAAAATCATGTTCTTAAAATTATAAAGAGCTTATTGATACAACAGGGATTATATCTTGTTAGAAAGCAGACAGGGTAAAGAAGAAAATGAAAACTGGACAGAAAATTCAGTCCTAACTCCATTTGTGAGGCAGGTGAGGTTGTTTGGCACATTTGCCTTGCTTTCTGTCCTCCTTTTTTGTAATCTGCCTGGCTCTTGCAGTATAGAAACTCAAGAAGGGCAGACTTTCAAAAAAAAAAAAAAAAGCTTCATTTTAGTCTAGGAATTAATCCCTTTTACAAGTTTTATAAGGAGTACATACTGTAGTACTACAGTGAGTTGTTGCTTTTGTCAGTTGGCCCAAAGCATATAGACTCAAAAAAACTCCAAGTCTGTATAAGTTAGTCCAAAAGATTCATTTTGCAGTGAAAGCTATCAGAAAATCTGAATCAAGTAGATTCTGTGCCCACCACCATTACTACATGTAATGTATATAATATGTATATTGTACATATATGAGCCAGAAGGATGAACCTACATTCTCAAATTAGTGAAGTCATCACTACACAGAAAAGGAAGAGGATGTAAAATTATGTGTGGGTGATGGGGGAAGGGGTCAGCTACAAATAGGAAATGATCCACTCTTCTTGCAGAGGAAACTCAGGTTTCATTTCACATACATCATTAGAAGCAAGGCAAATTAGGATTGATCAGAGAACTACAGCAGAGCAGTAGTCACACAGCCTCCACGTGGTTGGGCCATGAGTATTCCTTTTCCCTTCAGAAACCAACATTTCTTAAGTAAAAAAGCAATAGTCATCCAGATATTCAAATTTTTATTTTTAAAACTGCCTTTATTACAAATTTAAAAGTCTCAAAAAGTTTCTTTGCCTCCACATAGAGTTCATGGTGGTATCCAGAAGCACAACTTCACTTTAAAAAGATTAAAAAGGAATACAGTGGTATCCAAAGGCACTAGTTCAGCTTTATAAAAATACAGTCAATCCCCAGAGAGTACCCATGTTAGTAAAACTGCCTTAACCACCAGAACTTATTACTTCATTTCTTAATGTGAAAAAAGCACAATTAGAACTCCCAAGGAAAAAGCTGTTCCTGTAAGGAAGAAAATGAAAGTCAATTGAGATTACTATTGGCAAAATGATTACATTTCTTTAACATCTTAGATATACATGAAGACATCAATTTAAAACTTCACAAACTATTATAATGTTGTAATAATTCAGATATACGTGATTATTCATGTGTGACTATTTGTAGTCTTTATATAACAGTACATCAAAGTTTTGAATAAAATGGTTAATGGATACCTAAGGTAACAAATAAATACTTTGGCCCTGCTGGAATGCTGAGTCCAAGGGCTGTGCAGCATTTGAACATTCTTGGGTTTCTTCCTCGCATTCCAAAGGGTTTCTGCTTACAGCCAATGCGTGCTTACAGACCAAAGCTCAGGCATTTAAACACACAGGTCAATCCCTGTCTTCATAGAAATTCTTGGAAACTTCTAGTCCTATTCTAGAATCATGTTTTTGTTTTTTTTTTTCCCTGATGCTAGCATCACAGTGTAGCGGGCAGCTGCTGGAATCCCATATGGGTCTGAGCCCTGGTTGCTCCATTTCTGATCCAGCTCCCTGCCAACAGCCTAGAGAAAACAATGGAGGGCAGTGCCACAACTTGGGCCCCTGCACCCAGGTGGGAGAAAGCAGCAGTTGACTCCCTGGCTTCAGTTCTTGTCCAGCTCTAGCCCTATGGCCATTTGTGAAATGAACCAATGAATGGAAAGATTTCTCTCTCTCCCTCCTTCTTTCTCTGAAACTCTGCCTTTCAATCCTCCAGTTGTATTGGGATGGATAACATTAATAGCTACTAAGGCTTCCTCTAAAATCTATTTTATTGAGAAACTTAGAGAGGCCATGACAAAATATGTCCCCAGTGAACACTAAGGCATGGTCACAATGATTCTAAACTGAAATCATAGGAACACCTGGTACACCATGCGCAATATGTGCCATCTTGAATCCTCATCTTTTGTCATGAATACGTTAGAAAATATTCACAATGCAAAGTCAAAATACTCACACCAACGATGGCCCTGGCTGGGCCTCCGTACTGCTTGCCTGACACGTTGAAGTATTGTTTCTCAACAGCTCTTGAGATGCTTCTCCAGATGCACTACTATTAGTTGCTACCTCTTTTGATGCAAAGTTAAATGAGAACTTTCTGAAAAGATACAAGTCTGAGGTTAGTGTCACATTACTGTTATATCTTTAATGACTGGAAACATGATAAAAACTATATGAGACAACTCTTTGTATGGAATAAAAATGTCAAATCAAAATATGACTCCATGTAAAAATGCAAGTGGATTTTTGTTGGTTTTTAATAGATAAGGAAAAGTTTCTATCAGAATATCCATTCAGACTTTGTTACCTTAGAACCAGTGATTTGTGATCCAGAAGTAAAGTCTGAAGTAATGCCAACTGCCATTGATCTTTAGAGCTGTCATCTAGAATCACCTCATTTCATAGCTGGCAAAAGGGATCAGAGTTTTGTGTTCCTGGCCCAGTGCGTGAGCAGATAGGAAACTGCTTCCTCTTTTAGAAGGCAAGTTAAGTGTTCTAAAGGAAGCCTGTAATACAGAGTAGCTCACTGCCGGGTGGCTATCTGCTAAGCCTCTTTGGTACCTAGATAAAAAGGGAGAGGGCCATCATTGTGGGGCCATGAGCCGAACTGCAGTTTGCAATACCAGTCTACAAATCACTGACTCAAGCCTGTTGCTCCATTTCCAGTATAGTTTCCTGCTAATGCACTTGGGGAAAGCAGCAGAGGATAAACACTTGTGCCCTTGCTAACCATGTGGAAAGGAACAAAGATGCCATTCCTATTTCCTCAGTTTGATCTAGACGAGCCCCAGTCATTGCAGTTATTTGAAGAATGAAAACAGTAGACAGCCAAGCTTGCTCTTTTTAAAATAAACATATTTTTAAAAATTAATACATTGAGATGACTGATTTTATATATGGATATGCATGTTATTTGATGCTACATCTATTCATGGCCTTTTAATCAAAATCAATCTCAGGGCCCGGCAGCGTGGCCTAGTGGCTAAAGCTCTTACCTTGAACACGCCAGGATCCCATATGGGTGCCAGGTTAATCCTGACTTTCCATCCAGCTCCCTGTTTGTGGCCTTGGAAAGTAGCAAAGGATGGCCCAAAGCTTGGGACCCTGCACCTCCGTTGGAGACCTGGAGGAAGTTCCTGGCTCCTGGCTTTGGATCGGCACAGCACCGGCCGTTGTGCTCACTTGGGGAGTGAACCATCGGATGGAAGATCTTCCTCTCTGTCTCTCCTCCTCTCTGTATCTCTGACTTTGCAATGAAAATAAATCTTTACAAAAAATCAATCTCAGTATATTTTCAAACATTTTTACTCTCATCAGAAACATCTAGTAGCCAAGAAAGCATTAAATAATACCAACCTCTCAATGATGCACCCTATTGGGGTATAACTTCTGAGATTTAGAAAGACTGGTTCGTATGAAAGTGAACTTTCAATTAGGATACACCAAATGCGGTCCTGAAGAGCAAGAATTAATGTTAATTCTGATGGGTAAGAAAAACATCTTCAAATTAAAATTAGAATAATACAGAATTCATTTTATATTAAGGAGGGACCAGTGTTGTGCTTAGTGGACTAAGCTATAACCTCTATGATTCCAAATTGAGTCCCTGCTGCTTCACTTTAACTCTAGCTTCTTGCTAACATAGTTCCAGGCTCCCATCTTCAACCTAGACCAACCTTGGCCATTATGGCTGTTTGAAGAGTGAACCAGAAGATGAAATATTTGATTTCCTTCTCTGTGTAACCCTGCTTATCAAACAAGTAAGTCTTAAAAAAAAAAAAAAACGAAACACAGAGGAGAGAGGGGAACACAAGGATGTAGACCTTGAGGACAGCAGAGCTAAGTGGCACAATGTCTACATTTAGACAAAAATCCAAGCACTGCAAGACCCCCAAAGATAATGTCAGGAATGTTGTATTTATCTGGCAAGTAGGGCTACAAACACAACTATGGGTCATCGCAGTTGTTTGAGTCAAGGTGTGATTTTTGCTAAATCTGGAGTACATCCCAAACTCTCCAGTCTCTTCTGAGTAATAAACTTGGAGTATTTTATCATTTCAGACCAAGTTCTACATAATTGTAAAATGGTGATAGTATAAATCAAAGCTGCTTAAACTTGAAAATCCATCCAGAATATCTAGAAAATATTGTAAGTCTTTATAGAACTGTTTTGAAAATAGCTACTTCTGCCACTACACCAGGAGAGCCACCATACCCTATCTAAATGAATGTGCTCATCTTTCGGTGAAATCTTGTCCTACACAAGCAGCTATTGAATTTGGCCAGAATTGCAGAGTAGATGTAAGCTATTATTCATAAATGAGTTAATGTTTTTACTGGAAAATTATACAAAAACGTAAGGCAGAGAAGTCAAAATTATATGAAACGTAATAGCAACTGACAATTACCACAATATTAATAAGCAGATCTTCACTTTAAAATAGAAAAGCCATTTATTAATAATTGTTCTTACATGTTTCCGGATGCCACAGGAAGAGACGGTATAGAGGAACTCAAAGAAAGAAGGCAGCACTCTGCTGACAGGACAGCCAGTCCCAAGGTACAGTTCATGCCTCTGGGGATGCAGCTCATCCACATAAGGTGTTCGCCTAATTCTGACTCGCAGCCAGTGTTCGGTACAGCTTACAAACACTGATCAGAAAGAGAAAAATCACAGATTCATCTCCAACCAACACCTTCACAATGTTCCACCCAGAGGTGACCTGAACACCACACTAGAGTGTAAATGCACTGGTTTCTGTATTTTCTTGATAGCTTGGAGGTGTTCTTCACATCTAAATGTGAGTGAAATAACTATTTCCTGGGATTCACGCAGCATGCAACTGGAGGAAGCTGTGATGTACACAGATGCTAGGAACAGTCAAGAACAATTCTTGCTATTACTAGTAAGAAAAAAATTCGCCTCTTATCTGACAGTGGTCTTGGTATGTTAGACTCATTCTCTAGCATAACTGTACCATCCAGGTTTAAGCCAGTGAATGTGCATTTTTAGAAAACGGTAACTCTTTACTAAGTAGAACACTTACTGACCAGAGGTCTTTCAAAAACCTTTTCCATGAACTTTTAAGAACTATGTATGAATGTCGAAAGATTTTGATACCGAAATGCTTGAAGTTCACTATTCCATGAACTTTTAAAATACCCTCATTAGACACATTGTGGTGCTTACTTGAATTTTTTTTACACTTTTAAGCAGTACCTCACTCTTCAATGTTATATATGTATCTTCACATTTATGCAATTTGCCATAGCCATATATTTATTTGATTACTGGATTACACAAATATTTTTAGAGTTCATGGAAAATTCCTATTTAAAAACTACACATGGATTTTCAAAAATTCTGGTTCAGATATTCTTATCTCAATAATTCTATAAGCTTTTAGAAGCACATTCATATTATCTTTTTATATCTGCTAAGAGAAGCCAACTACATTTGCTTTCTGCAAGAGGTTAATTGTTTAATATGAGATGGCTCAGTATTACTAGAGCTATCTGGCAGTTTATAGAAACCAGGCTTTAGCCAGAATTTCTTATTTTGGTAAAACATTTGCCCTGTGTTAATAAAGCAAGCAACCAATAAAGACATTAGCAGTCTAACAAAAATGCATTCATTTATGACCATAGACCAGCCATAAAGATTAAGCAGAGGCACAGACACATATTTTAATATAATCATATTGTCGGGTTTTACAGGCTGTCACCAGCCAATAATGTTAGAAGTAACAATACTTTGAATCAAAGACAATTTTTAAAATCACTTAAACTCAAATAGAGCACGCATTTACTCAAATGAGTTCAATTTCTTCTTTATCCACACAGAATAAATCCAGAAAACCTTCTCTACCCCATTTCCTATACAAATACTTAGAATTCCCTTTTTTCTTCATCTACCCATACAGTATGAATACTTAAGAATCCTTTCTTATTTCTGCCTCCTTCACTTCCTAGAACTTAGGGTTCCCTACAACTTTGTACTAGTTTGAATGCCTTGAAGCAGAGTAGATGATCTCAATCAGTGGTTCTCACCATGAACCAACAGGCAAACACCATCTAGTGATTTCTTAGGAATTCAAACTCCCCAGTACCAGCCTGGTTGTGTATCTGACACCAAAGTTGGGACCCAGAAATAAATGTTGTAACCGAATCTCCAAGGCAACCGAAAATTTTACAACCACTTCTTCAAAGGATTTTTATCATATTTTATCATTAGCCATTATCACATATTTAAATATCTATTTAGCTTGAAATGAACTGTTTATCTAGACATTAATCTCTTCCCTTTTTCTACCACCATCTTTGTCAACTGCTGATAATGAAGTGACTGTTTAGTTTTTCTAAGTAAAAATTACCAACATGTCAAGCAAATTAATTGGGGGAGTGCTTTTGGTGTAAGTTCTTTAAGGTACAGCTGAAAGAAAACAAGATGAGAAATCAGAGGGAATGGAGATAAAAGGAAGAAGAAAATGAGGCATAGCTGAAAGAAAACCTGAGCTCAGGCATGCCATCCAGCTGATGGTATGTTACAAAGGGCTAACCTGCCACTTGGGTCAACCACACTCCATGCTGGGATGCTTGTTCAAGTCACAGCTTTTCCACTTTTAACCCTGTCTCCTGTTAGTGCTCAGGAGTCAGCAGGTTACAGCACAGGTGCTTGGGCCTCTGCCACACACAGGGAGCCTTGCGTGGAATTCCTGCCTCCTGGCTACAGCCTAAATCAGTCCCAGCGGCTGGGGATTATTGAGGCTTAAATCAGTGGAAGTCAGATTTGTCAGTCTAGCATTCAAAAACACAAATATTTTTAAAAGAAAAACATGCATTTGAGGGTGTCTGTACAATACTGTAAGACTTGTGGTTAATAATCCCCCTCAGTAAGAGGAAATATTAACTTTTCCCTCACAACGCAAGATGGCTAGCAATTTGGGAGATTCAAGTCATACATGTTTATGGCAAGCCCTTTATAGAGTGAAGTGTCCAGAATCCTTAGAAATTACTCAAATTTCACATATAAGATAGCCTGTGAATATTTTGAAAATTTTCCATGCATATCAGATCTGGACTAGCGATGGGCCCATTTTTGAGAAATATGCTTCAGCTGCTTTGATTTACGGACTCAAATCTGTTTCACCAGTTAACACTAGCTTGATAATCTACATGAAAGGAGTTTCTGTAAATAAATAATTTATAATTGAAAGTAGTTGATCACTCTGTCCAACCTATGTACCATGTTCACAAAATCATTTGAAACTCCCTTTGATATCTGACCAGTACTCCCGATTGATCCATTCATCAATTCTTTAAGTTTTGAAAGGGTGACAAACATGTCTGAGACAGATGAAAATATGAGGGGTCTTCAAAGAGCTCATGGAAATGCACATTATAAGATAATTTGCACAGATATATATTTTTGCCTTCTTTTACTCTGATTTTTCATGAGCTTTCTGAAGAGCTCAAAAACACTTGCAAGTGAAGAGTAAAAACAGCAGCACTTTGCAATCACCTTAGGATGGGGTAGAGAGAAACACAGTGAAGATGCACCAACCGGTTACCTAACCGAAAACTGAAAGCCATCAGATATTACCAGATGATAAAACCCCAACGTCCAAACTAGACAAGCACTCCATGGCTTGCAGCACCACCCTCCGCAGCTCCCTCTTGTTCTTACAATTCTGTAAACTGTGAACAGGCACAAGAAGCAGGAAGAGCCCTCCCAGCACATCAAAGACCTTCATGGCGTCGGGTCTAGAGCCAGAGTATGGTAGGAAGCAGGAAGTCAGAGGCGGTGAACTTCTGCAGAAGGTTATAAGCCCTCCTGGCCTTGTCGGCTGTGGCTGATGAAGTGTCATCCGGGAAAGCTGAGAAACCCTCAACCCTATTCCTGCTCCTGACAAGAGTCCTCATCATCCACAGTCAGGCAATCAGAGAGAAAATGTGGCAAAGGTGGTTCTGCGCTGCGCTACCTTGCACTCAAGATGTCTCCCTCAAACATATGGTATGACTGACATTATATCTTCTGTGACCTGGGATATATTTATTTGGGAATGTTAAGCACAGAACTGTATTTATCAATCTGGAGTTTTGTGGGGGAACCAAAAAAAAAAAAAAAAAAAAACTTCATTTCCTGGCCTCCATTTGTAGTAGATGATTCTAGCATAAGGAGCTCATTAATTTGATCTAAGCAACTCCAGGTGACCCTTCTTCTGGTCAACAAATTTGCAAAATTGCCCTCTATGCTTGGAAAAGCTCTGCTTTCTGTTTTATTTGCTTGCCTGGGAGTATTTTATCACAAATATCTTCATCTATGATTACCTGAAGAAAAATTTCAGGAGAGAATTTTTGTCATGTGAAACCTAGGTATGCAAAATCCTGATGAAGAGAGTGATTGAGAGTGAGAATAATTTTGCCCCATGATGTCTTGGCGGAAAACATATAGAAGTTCCATATAAAACATGAGAATTTGTTAAATTATCTCCAAAAGTACCTGATTTATCATACAAATTGCCTCAGCTTCTAAGGGAAGCATACCTGCAGGGGCATTATCAAAATTAGCTATCAGAACCTCCAGGATTATGGGCTGATACAGAAAGAAGCAAGAAAAAAGACTTACGAATGATTATCAGAAATCACAGATGAAAGCTCTTGCCTTGATATATTGTAATTGAGATGCTGCTTTTAGGCTGTGGAAATGAGACCTCACCAAGGATCACTCTCTGCCTTTATTGGGGTTCTTGAGAACAATGCTCCTATATCATTATTAGCTGGCTTCTTGTTTTATTACATTCATTGTACAAATTTGTCTGGCACAGTGTGATAATTTGATAAACATATTCAACTTGTGATGATCAAATCAGATTAGCATTTCCATCTTCTTATAGAAACACATTTAAAAGGGTTTTTTAAATTAAGAATTGTATGTAGTTCTGTGGTATAATGTAACATTTGAATAAATGCATACAGTAAAATGTGTACTGATTAAATCAGGATAATTACCATTTCCCTTACCTAGTCATTACTTCTATGTTTGAAGTCTGCAAGCTCGTCTCTTTTATTTGTTCATAGAATGTATCATAGATTACGGTGAACTTAGTCACTCCACTGTGCTATACAACACTAGGACTTCTTCCGACCATGATTTTGTATTTCCCAGCAGTCAGCTTGTTGCCTCTTACCTTCAACCTTTCTGAGCCCCTAGTCATGATTATTCTACTTTCAAAGAAACTTTTTATACCATCCATATCATGAAAGATACGTATCTATTTAGGGAACAGTGTTATGGTGTATCAGGTGAACCTGCAATCTACAGCACCAGAGTCTGATGTGGGCACTTTCAAGTTCTAGCTGCTCACTTTCTGATCCAGGTCCCTGTTAATGTGGCCTGGGAAAGCAGCAGGGGATGGCCCGAAACCTTGGGTCCTGGCACCCATGTGGAGATCTGAAAGAGGCTTCTGTCTCCTGGTTCCTGGCTTCAGGCCAGCTCAACTCTGGCCATTGTGATCATTTGGGGAGTGAACCAACAGATAGAAAAGTCTCTCTTTTTCTCTGTCTCTTTCTCTCCCCCGCTCCCGCCCCACCCGTGTATGTGTCTGCACCTCTGTCTCTGCCACTCTGCATTTCCTAATATGTATTTATTTATTTGAAAGGCAGAGAGAGATTTTCCTTTACCTGGTTCATGCCCCAAGTATCTGCAACAGCCAGTGAGGGGCCCCATTGAAGCCAGGAGCTGGGAAATCTGTGATCTCCCACATGGGTGGCAAGAACTCAAAGCTTTTACCATCGTTCTCTGCCTTCCCGTGATGTGCATTAGCAGGAAAGAAGACAGGAAGCGGAGGATCCAGGACTCCAACCGACACTCCGATATGGGATGCATGCATTCCAAGTGCTGGCTTTATGCACTGCACTGTAACAATTCCCCCGAGAGCATTTACCTTTCTGAATCTTAGCACCGCTAGTGTTTCAGGCTGGTGTGTAATTTCTCTTTTCTTCATGATTAGTGGCTTTTATGTGTACTTTGATACCCTCATTATTTTGAAGTGATAAAGAGATAATCCTCTATTCTTTTCTGAAATGTAACAAATATACGCTTGACATTGAGGTTCTTTTTTTTTTTTTGGCTTCAATTGAGGTTCTTAACCCACTTGGAATTAAGGAGCTTTTCTGACTAGGGAAAGGTGATTAACCATTTGCATGCACTGATGACTACCCAAACATCCCAGATCCGTATTTTAAAAAGTCTAACCTAATCCACCTCTTTCAGTCAGACTTCAAAAATATTGTTAGTAAATATATGTTATGAAAATGTAAGTGTAGTTTCCAGAGCTGTTTTGCAGCAGAATATACTTCTAACTTCATTTTTTGTGAGCACTTTGAAGAGCCCTCAAGTATGTGCATGTGTACAAGGACCTGGTGTCTGTGGAGCCTTTACACCACAGCAGCCGAATACACACCCTAATCAGCAGTGCATGAAACATTCTCAGGTCTCAAACAAGCCTCAAAAAACTCAAAAAGAGTGAAATCATATCGGTACTTCTTCTCTGACCACAATGGAATGAAGTTGAGAATTAACTACCAAATTTGAAAAACAAATAAATAAAAAGACACATGGAGACTAACATGTTCCTGAATGAATGGTGAGTCATAGAAGAAATCAAAAAGTAAATGTAAAAAACTCCTAGAAATGAGTGGATATCACACAACATAGCAAGACTAATGAGATATAGGGGAAAAAAGAAAGTGTTGCTAGGCAAGTTCAGGAGCCAGTGTCACGGTGTAGTAGACCAAGCCTTTGACATGCCATATGGGTATCACATCATGTCCCGGCTGCTCCACTTCTGATCCAGCTCCCTGCTAACATGTCTGGGGAAGCAGCAGAGGATAGCTCTGCACATATGTGGGAGACCAGAAGAAGCTGTTGGCTCTTGGTTTCAGCTCAGCCCGGTTCTGAACATGGCAATCATTTGGGGAGTAAACCAGCAGATCTCTTTTTCTCTCCATCTGTCTCTGTAACTCTTCCTTTCAAATAAACTTTTTAAATAAATCTTTTTTTTATCACTTCTTTTTTTTATTTTTTTATTTTTTTTAATTGCATAAATTTTATTTCTGATAATTTTTTTTTAATTTTGACAATCCTTACAAATTTAATTGGGGTAAAAAAAGGTCCAAGGTCTAAAGGGGGATATAGAGGAAGAAGCCCCACCCAGTTTCCCGCCCGCCCCAAGTCCCGGATGTGGGGCATGCTCTGGGATACTCGATCAAGTGGTTCCAATAGTTCACCATTCATGGGTCACTGCCAGTCTCGCCACTCCAAGCACAATGTGGTCATTGAAGAGTCCATTGATTGACACAGTCCCTTCCAGAGTCTCCATTTGCCCAGTTTTTTGCTGCCAACAGATAGCTGAGGTTGCTGCTTGACTTGTCCTGTCTTTCCTTGGTTAGGACTCTGGGTCCAGTGTCTCGAATGGGGAGATCCTCGAAGAAATTTTGAGGTATTCCCAGTCCAGATTCCTGCATGTTCTAGTAGCATAGGGCCCAGCACAGTCCATTGCCCCAATCAGCTGGTGGTTGCAGTTGCTGGGTCGGCTCTGTCTCCACCCGTGTCCTCTTGTAGTCCCACCTGGTTCCGCCCTGGACGCACTTGTCCCTCGCACGTACCAGTAGGAGTTGCAGCCCAGTCAGGGCGGCCCCCAGTAACCTCAACCAGGCCCACCCCCTACCCTGGCTTGCCAGTATATATGGCATGCTCGCCCAGTCTGTCCCAAATACCCTTCTGTTCGTGTACTTGCCAACAGGTGTTGCAACCTGTTTCCATCCAACCATCTCCTTCTACCGTCCCTAACGGATATTGTTGGGTGTCTGTCTAGTCACCCCATCTCCTGTCCTAGTTCCCATGCCCTCCTGTGGAAGGTGTTAACCCACAAGGGAGGAGCCCACTATTTCCCTCCCAGGTCGCTCCCATTCCAGTTGTGCCCTCTCGAGTTGGCCCTGCGGTTCAACTCAACGTGTCTAGCCCTTTGTACCAGCTTCCGCCAGTTGATGCTACAGCTAAGCCCCAACAACCCTCATCAACTCTGATTGTAGCTTACACCAGTGGGAATAGTCAGCCCAGCCTGGTTTTCACCCAATCTGGTCCACATGAGGTGCACAGGCGTTGTGTCCCTGCCTGGTCTGGCCTACCCCCCACCCAGCTCACGCTCCTCAGTGCAAGTTGCTGTTCAGCTAGGGAACCTACCCTTATTCCCCTGTCAGCTCTGCCTCCTCCTTTGCTGGTTCTCACGTGTGTTGGTTGGTTGGGTGCTGCGGCTGTATCCGGCTCAGGCTACCTCACCTTGGCATTCTAACTTGTGTGTTGCTTTTGTCACGACCGGACCTGGTTCGACCCACACTCTGTTCTGGCGGTCAGATTTACCAGTGGATGACATGAACAAATTCAGCCTGGTCTGCCCCCAACCCATGCCAAATGCATGCCAGTGGGACACTTTCTATGACCTCTTGGCTGTAGCCTTCCATGTTCCTTGCGCTGACCTGCTGGGTCTGTGTCCTGCCAGAGGAACTGCCTGAGCTCCTCCATCAGAACCCCTCCATGTGCCAGGTTTCGCGTTTATCAGTGGGTCCATGTGCCAGTTCGCCTCTTGTCCTAGCAGGAACAGTGGCTTTTCCTAACTGGCCATCATCCCATTCTGGTTCTTGCTGTAGAGTGTTTCAGCCCAGCCACGGTCGTCCATGTCCTCATATAGCT